AGAGCAAGTTCTTCTCCAGGACCTCGGCAAGCGGAACCACTTGAACTGGAGGCGAGCTCGTGAACTCCAAGTTCAAGAGCTTCACGCACTCTGGCTTGATGATCTTCTCTTCCAGCTCAATGGCCGGGCAGCCCCAGTTGTACGCACCACATATCTCACTGATGCATTTCTTAATTTTGATGAAGAGCCTTCCTGCCTCGTCAAGATTTGACTCCTCAGGTATGCAAGCTAGCACGTCGATCCAATGCCGGTCGTTCCAATGACCCCTCTGGCCTCCAACTTTGACGATCATCTCAATGTTGTTCTCACCCAGGTGCCACCAGCCTTGCCCCACAGTGTAGGCGGATGATAAGCTCGCAAGCCTGACCTGTAGCATTGTAAATATACCTGTTGGCAGCAGCATCTTCTCTGAATCCTTGCATTCGAGCCTCCTCCCCCAGAAAGTGGTGGTGTCGTCATCCCCAGCCATCGAACCGGCTGGTAAATTTGACCACGATTGGATTCTCTCGGTTAGGAGTGACAGGACAATGGCTCGTTTAGTTTTCTGATCCAATAGCAACACTCCTAGCCTGTTCAGCGAGGTGATAATATAGGGAAGATCGTCCGGTGTGCAGCCTTTCTTTGGAAGCATGTCTTCGACCTGGATTATCGGCATCCAAGTGGGAGGAGGCTGCTCCGCTGGCAGGTTGTCGATCGTCCTATTCTGGCGAGGTAAGAAAACTCCGATAATATCTCGAACAAACCACTGAACATCGAGAATGAGAAAAACCTGGTCTTCATCGTCCACCTCCTGATCAAAATAGATCACCTCCCCCATATCATGCAGATGGCTCACTGCGACTTTGAATAGTCGATGGTCCTGAATGCCCAACTTGCTCCTGAAGTGCTTCATGCGTATAAGCTTTTCTTGTTGAAACTTCTTTGCTTTGGCTAGAATGACAGCTTGACAGATCTCAGGTACCTTCGGTCTACTTGTTAGCAGCTCATCCAGTTTGAGCTTTAGGTGCTCTTTCAAAACTTTCACGCTCTTGACCTTAGTGGCCACCAAACCGAAGAGGCTGTTTTCAGCATGCCCAAAGTCGATCACACTTGAGTACTGCCGTACCATTTCTTTGCATCTTGACTTTGCCAGGTCTGACATCGTCCAACCGTCTTGTGGCAGGATACTGTCCTCAAAATAGTTCAGCACAATCAGAACTTTTGGTTTGTGCTTGGTCAAGGTTCTATGTGACACTATGAACCTTAACCAGTATTGAAGTTGGTCTTCCCACGTTCGAATATCTTCCTTACCAGGAGCCTTGGAGACGATTAGAAAGAGGTCCTTGTCGCTCCCTCTGATGAAATAGTGGTGGAAAGCATGGAATTCCGGTTGACCAGCCAAGTCACACATTAGCAGGGTCTTCTTATCAAATTCAATCTTTTCCATATCAATCCCGTAGGTGGATAGATGGCGCTGCAACTTGGGAAGGATACCTTTTTGTCTGGAGAGATTTTTCCGTATTGTAGTCTTCCCGACTCCAGAATTTCCACAGATGAAAAGCTTGGCCATGGTTGGTTCCACCCGCTTTTGGGCTGCAAGGCCCTCAATACGATATAACTTGTTGCGCTCCATGATCTGTGAGCAGTACGTAGCCATAATATCGCTGTCCCAATTCGTTCTAAATGTCTCCAGGGGGCAATTAAAATTCTCGTTGAGGTGCTCAACAATCTGTGCCAGGCCATCCAGCTTACCAATATCAAGGCGTTGAATTTTGCAACTAGGTAACAACTCCAGGAGCAATTGACCTTTACAGCTTAGAAAGCTTTTATCTCGGATGTTTTCTGGCTCGTATTCAATATCAAAGACGAGACTGCGGAGGCTTGAGGTTAAAAGCTCACCCATGACAGATAGCAGCTTCTCTTCCTCGTTCATGAAACCAGAATAACCTGAATGCACTTCTAGTGAGTTGAGAACCACCGAGTCCTTGCATAGCTTCCCAAGTTCTCCAATGAAACCAGTGCTCTGTACCCCTCTGAGCATCAAATGGTGCAGCTTGCAATGCTTACTTCTCAAACCTGTCATAAACTCGCTGGCACTCTTGTCAAAGGCAATGAGCTTCTGCTGGTACACATCCAAACCGAGGTCAACCAGCTTACAATCTGGGCTTTGAAGTGTGCGGCCCAAATGCGACAAGATCTGAGAGTTAAGGGTGCGGCGATAGAGCCTGAGCCTCCAAATGTTGCACGCAGGATTGACGAGCCGTTGGACGAGCAGTTGTAGAGCCTGCTCTTCATGGATATTACCGTCCACTGTCAGCTCCAAGCTCTCCAGGGAAGGAACCGATGTCAAAGCCGAACAGAGGCGCTCATTTAGACCATTTTGTGGAAATTTGATGGATAAGTGCCGCCAGGAGCAAGATGGAGCCTGGAGAGCACAAATCAGACCTTCTAACGTAGAATTCTGGTCGACTTCTAGATCCAAGGATGCCAAACTGGTGAGACTTTGCAAGGACATGTCATCACAATAAGATGCTGAGAGGTGTTTCAGCTTCTTTCCTAAACGCTCTAGGATAGCCATCCGGTTCTCATCCAACTCAACCCTTCCAGGGACAGATACCCAAACATCACGATCCAAACCATTCAACTTATCAAGATCCTCAAACTCAAACTCTTTAAACTGGACATCAAACTCCAAGGATGACAAACCAGCAAAGATCCTATCTAGCTGCGCATTAGAAAGCTGCCTAATGGCCATAACTCGGAAACTCTCAATGAAGCAAGTGCATAGCCAAGAAGAACTCTGTATGCTCGCTGCTAAGTACGAGTTGTGAGGAAGAATTAGTCAGTGGGAGGAGCCAGAAAACGTTACCTCTCACATGTAAGAGCCAGCTGGTGGAAACTTTCTTATTAGTATAATAACATCATCAATAATACTAAATGTATCCAATTGCAAGGTACACATCAAACACCGAGGCCTTTCGTAAGCCTCGTGGGTACTCTCCCCACGTTCGGCCTCTAGCCACACATAAACAGCATATAGATAAGCTCAACAAGTTCCATCCGAAGGAACAGGAAGCGTTGACGTGTAACTGCAAATGTAAGAGTACAAGTTTCACGTTTTACAACCTTAGCCAGTAAGAGTGTCCAGATCTCGGCCCAAGTTCCCCAACAAAAGCTTTGGAACCAATCATTCGTGCTCTTTTGTCTTGGATTCTCCATTAGTAACCGCTTTTGAGAAGACTATGGCTAAGTGGTCTTTCCTTGAAATCATTCACACAAGGAAGCGCCATTCCCTGGCCGGGTGCAAATTAGATAAGCAAGCTCTCCATGTCCTTCGTCTCTCTTTGGAGATTCTATAGGGCGCTCCAGGGAACGAATATCTTCCAGTTTATCAATGCCTAAAGCCTCCAAAAGCTCTGTGCTACCAACAACGTAGCTGCAAACCACACAAACAAATGCCTTAGGACTACTAATTGTGAGAAAGAAGAAATCGATCTGTCTTACCTTGATAGATTCATGCCTTCCGGTGGGGGAAACTCGTAGAGCAAACGATGCAGCAATGCTCCTCCAGATTTCTGGGGAACAAAGATTACTGCATTTGGTCCAGCATCAAAAGTGTATGCTGCCTAGCAGTTCTCACACCAATCAACCACGAGTCACGAAGTCGAAATCGAAGTATACCTGAGGACTCCCTTCGGACTTGTTCCAGCGCTCCACGAGTCCAATGATCCTTCTGGAGGTATCGTTCATGTAGAAAATTGGTGGAGAGGTGTCGAGGCAAGTTGCATGGAACTGGTTGCTGTCCGCGCAAGTCAACTTGGCGAAGGAAGAGAAATCGCGTTTGGACAAAGCTTCTTCCATCTCAGTGATTCTCTTTGGCACTACTTCCTGTTTGGGAATATAAACTTACATATGCCAGGACGTCAAAAATCGAGAGAGAAAAAATCACCTTGGCTCGATAATGTAGGAGTGGACTTGTCTGGACAGACTCTTGCATGCCCGATGTACTGCTCACTTCTTTCTGCCGCGAACTCACCTAGAAATAAAAATCACAATAGCTACACTCGAGAACTTTCCAAGCTTCATACTTACCACACAAATCACAATCCGAAGATCATCCCACTCGTGATGCTCTGCAAGCGGAACAGCAATGCTATCTTTTCCATCGGCCCTCTTTACAGCACACCAAAAAGCATGTTAGTATCAAAGTTTTTCAAGGAAAAAACAAGTACCTTTCCCATCTCCCACTTGACAAATCCTCCATGGAGACTGCGGCAGGCGCTACCGGAACCACGCCTGTAGCAGCAAAGGTTTGCTCCAAAACACTCCATTCAGTGAATGCTTTACCGAGCGATCGTTGAAAGCTCCCCTGGAAACGACTCCTTGATCCCCATAAGCTCAGCAACGGTAAACACTGTAGGGAAGAAAACAAAGAGTGTCAGTCAGGATATATCTCACAGAGATTTCTTTTTGCTTTTCTTCTTACCAAGACAAGCAAATCCAGCTGCTGATGAAGCTAATCCAGCAGCGGTAGGAAAGTTGTTTTTAGAAACGATGTGAAGCTTGAGATGTTTCCAATCCTCCTTTGTAATCACGATCCCAGTTTTCTCGTCTTTCACATCGGTGGCTCTATCACGAAGCTCTTTGAGGCAGCTCACGTATCTATGGCTCGACAAAGAAACCTCCTGCGATAACAGAATGAAAGAAAATATGAAAGAATTTCGCGATCGAGAGAAAGAAAAAGGATGTGTCGATCTTGAGCAGCCTGGATCTGAAGGAAGCTCACCTTGTCATTGAGCCATAGCCTATCAGCATCGAAATCCGGGCTCGTAGAGACCGTGGTAGTCGCGGAGAGATCGTTCGGATCCAGCGTGACGCTGATGCTGGAATTCAGCGGGAGGATGAGATCCTCGTCGCGCTTACCCCAGTACTTGATCACCGCGATGTTGCTTGGAGCTCGCGCGGTTCGTGACACGATCCAGGCGCTCCCATCGGTCCCCATTTGCTAGGAATCGATTAGGGTTCTAGCGCATTTCCTTTTCTCTCCTTTACTTCCTTTTCAACGAAATCTAAAACCCTAGCCAAGATCTCTAGGGCAGAGCGGGGAAATGGACGATCCCATAGATCGTGTGGAGATTTCCGGATCCACATTGGCCATGGCGCTGCGCGAGCTGGGATCACACACAGACACCGACGGGCTGCTCTTCGGGCGATTGCACACCAGATCCATCCAGAATTTCCAAGACGATGGTGATTCCCCTGCGGCGCCCAGCCGCCGCGAGGAGCACACGGCGATCATTACCGGCTGCTGCTGCTCAGGTACGCTCATGAGCTTCTACGATGCCGCCGGGGAGCTGGACGATCGGAAGCTGGAGCGCCTTGTCGGGAATCGCCAGAAGTGGGGCGGGGACGCGATCATTGGCTGGCTCCTCGGTCGCAGGAGCTCCTCAATGCGGCCATCGATGCGAGAGGCCGCCGTCACTGCGAACCTCAACGCCAGGAATCCAGCCTCTCCAGCTCCATCGCTCGATCGGGAGAAGAAAATACTAGACAACTCCAACTCCTCCATCGATCTGGGCTTGCCTTACGCTACCTCCAGCAGGAGTAGCAGCATTAGCGACTCTTTCATCGATCGCCAGGAGGAAAAGCTGGGCGATGCTCCAGCATTGTTGCCGTGTTTGTTCCTCCTTCTCACGGAGACCACGGCAGAGAACTCGATCCAGACGCACGAGTACCGGGCATTCCAGTTCCAGCGCCAGACACGGCAGTTCCATCCTCGGCTTTTGGTCGTGAGAAACGTTGGGAGAGCAGGGAGATCATCCGAGCAAGGTGGCTTGTATGGAAGCTTTGTTCCAGTGTCTCCGCTGCCTTGGTTCTCCACGAGCTTTGGGAGCTCTTCCACGAGCGGCGAGGAGGAAGAGGTTGATAGCTGGAGGAGTTCCTCCGGGACTGGTGGAAGGGGGGAGAGATCTTCTTCCTCGCTGCGGCAGCAGCAGCAGCAAGCGCTGCTCGGCATGTACGCCGAGGGATTCAGCATCGACCAGCTCCAAAACGTTTCCAGATGCGGTGGTAGCGTGCAGGAGATCGAGCTCCTCTACTCGAGAATGCTGGCCAAGATGCAAAAGATCGCCTACGAAGTTCGACAAAGCTCCGAGGCTGTCCAGGTACTTCATCCATGCTTTTCTCTCGTTTCTCTTCATGATCAATGCGACTGATGAGTTTTTCGTGCTCTCGCAGGAAAAGATGACGAAGATTGCGAAGCTCAGAGCTTCTCAAGATCATTTGTGACTACCGTCTCTTATATATTTACCCTCTTCGTTTCGTTATTTTTCTCGAGCAGGGTTTTTCAGGCTGCTCGCATGACGAGATTAAATTTGTGTGAAGAAGAAAACAGTCGTTGGTTCACGTAAAAAGGTGGCGACCATTATTTAGGTGTCGAATCTAATTCCAACCCAACTTTTTCTGCTTTGACCACAAAGTCAAGGTGGTAAAAAGAGACGCTGCCACACCTCAAATTGAAAGGGATTTTTCGATCGCTTTGGTAACTCAAAATACATTGATCGTTCGAAAGCTGAGATTAGCGTTCCTGTTTCAGATATTAGCACACTTCACAACTAGTATATAAACTTCGGCCCCCAAACCCAATTCCATCAACTTGACTCACAGCTCAAAAGCGAAAGAGAGATGGCTTCTTCTACTTTCGCTGCTCTGGCAATCTTTGCTGTTTTGTTTGCTGCATTGCTCTCTCACTCCGCTGCAATCCGATCCCCGAAGCAGGACTCATTCTGCCCCACCGCAGTCTTCACCTTTGCAGATTCTCTCAGCGATGGCGGCAACCGCGACATCGAAGCCGGCGGCAAGACTCTCTCCGGCATGTATCCCTACGGCGTCACCTACGGAAGGCCCACCGGACGCTACTCCGATGGTCTCGTCATCCCCGACTTCCTGATCCAGAAGCTCCACCTCGAGAACCTCGGCATCCCCAGCCTCGAGTTCAATGGCACCGAGTTCGTCAGCCTCAACTTCGGATACGCCGGAGCCACGGTGATCAAGGTCGAGAACCAGCCCTTCTCGAGCCCCCACATCTTCTCGGCCCAGGTTGACGACTTCGTGCGTCACCGCGACACGGTCGTGCGCGAATACGGCCGCGAGGATAGCGATCCATGGTACCAGAACGCGCTCTACATGGTCGAGATCGGAGGTGACGATATCAACTTCGGGCTGCCGCTGGGAGGCGGCTACGTGATCAATGTCACCATTCCGGCCGTGATCCAGGGCCTGGCTGATGGAATCCACAACTTGTACACACACGGAGCTCGCCGTGTCTTGCTCTACAACATGCCCCGCGCCGATTGCTCGCCAAACTATCTCCAGTCCTTCCTGCAGTACCCCGAGGGGATGTTCCACTACGACAAGGATGGTTGCATCGTCGAGATTGCCCAGATTATCTCCTACTTCAACGCACAACTCCATGCTTTGGCGACGGACCTCACGGCAAAGTATCCCGATCTCACTGTCTACTACTTCGATTGGTTTGCCGCCAACACCTATGTTTTGGAGAACATGGACGAGTTTGGCTTCACGAACTCGCTCCAGTCGTGCTGCGGCGGCGGCGGCAAGTTTAACTGCAATGGAGATGGGCTTTGCGGGTGCGCTCCATTGAACCAGACCGATGCTGTTTACACGGTGTGTAAGGATCCCAGCAAATACTTCACTTTTGATGGAATTCACTACACGGAGCACTTCTACAACATCATGTCCGACTTTATCATCGCCGGAGACTATATCTCACCCATGGTTAAGCTGGACAAGGGATGCAAGGTCATAGTCTAACTATGGGTGATTTGTCATTTCTTTGCTCACAACCACACAACCACAAACACCTCATATAAAGCAATGTAACCACTAATCACTAATCACTAATCAGTTTTTTTACTTTGGTTATCATTGTGGAGACTATATCTCGCCTATATCTTGTCTATAGCTGGACAAAGGATGCAAGGTCATAGTCTAACGTGATTGTATTGTCATAGTGTGCTAGCACAAGCATCTCACAACCACAAACACCTCATAACTAATCAATTTTCTATACACAACTAGATTGAAAACCCACGTTTTTATTCTCTGGGTTTATATCAACGGCTGGGATCACAGATTTGGACGGCTGAGATGTGATTTTTCAAAAGCGCATATGCTCTTTTATTCTTTAGGTTGGATTTGAAGCTAAGGCTTTGGCTATGGCGACGCCGCCGATGGCGAGCTTGTGTGGCTGCCACGCCTCGATTAGGGTGAGTGAAAATCCCTGTTCCGTTCAGCTGTGGGAGCGCATTTGTGATACCGGTGCTGCATTGTTCTTCAGGATCGAAGTGGCGGCGGACTCTTGCTGCGGTCGAATTTCACACAATCTTTCAGGTTCTCGGCTTCCAGTTCCGTGCCCGCGCAAACACAGAAGAGGAAGCGGTGCATTGTCACGGCCAAGAATGATCCATTCGTCGAGCCACCAGCGGTTCTAGGTGAGCCGAAAGCTTAGCAGTTTATGTTGTTTTCTTAGAACAAGAAACTCTTTGTGCTTGTTTCGACTCTCAAGTTTGTTTGCTACTTTTTTTCCTTCCAGATCGCTTTCGCCTCCACAACCTGGCTCCACAACCCGGATCCAGGCACAAGAACAAACGAAAGGGACGAGGACACTCAGCCGGACAAGGTGGAAGCTGTGGCTTTGGTATGCGAGGACAGAAATCGCGAGCGGGGCCTAAAGTAAGGCCGGGATTCGAAGGAGGCCAAATGCCTCTCTATCGCCGTCTACCAAAGTTGAAAGGAATCGCTGGAGGTAAAGCTTCTTCCATCGATCAGTCTAGTAGTTATTCTCGAGTTTCTACTCCTTCCACCTTACAGGCATGCGTGCTGGTGTTCCAAAGTACGTTGCCGTCAACATAAGAGACATTGCCACGCATTTTAACGATGGCGAGGAAGTGTCACTGGAAACTCTCACGAGCAAACGTATCATCAATCCCTCCGGAAAGGAGAAAAAGCTTCCACTAAAGGTATAGGCATAGACAGTTTCACTACTATACATCGTTGTTTCCACAGGTTTTGGGAGATCTCGGCGATCTCCAGGACTCGAGCATAAAGAAACTGTCGATCAAAGCTAGATCATTCTCAGCGTCCGCCAAAGTGAAGCTCGAGGCAGCCGGATGCACGCTGATCACACTTCCCGGCAGGAAGAAGTGGGTCAGCGCTTCAGTGTCCAAGAACATCAAGCGAGCGGAAGAATACTTTGCGAAGAAAAAAGGCCTTGTAACTTCTGAGACGTAAGATGATGTAAGTTAGCGTGCCAAGGCACGATTTTTACGTATCCTCTCTGTCATGCTTGCGTATCTTTCCTGTTTTAAATATCTTGTAACGACTTTCAACTTTATTTTATAAAACAGATTTTTGGATTGTGTTGCTTTCAATCATGGTGACATTGGTGTTGCAAAATTCACTTGATTGCAGCACTATTTAACATCGCAATCGTGTTGTAGTATTTGCCTGCAAGAAAGCTCTTGAACCACTTAGCCGATTCCTTGGGATACCTCGTCAAGTTGTCATGGCGATCAACGTAGTAGAGACCATACCTCCAAGTAAAACCATTCGTCCATTCCCAGTTATCACAGAGTGACCACACGAAATAGCCTCGGATCGTGCTTCCCTTTCGGATAGCCGTGAGCATCGCGTCGACGTATCCGCTTATGTAGTTGATCCTGGTAAGATCACCCAAGTTGCTCGAGTTCGTCAGGGAATCGTCGCTAATCCCTGAAAATAGCGTGAAACAAACCAGATGTGAGTGTAAGGGATTTTTGTCCCAGCAGGGACGGGCCACTGACCATTTTCGGTGATGAAAACTCGTGGATTCTTGTATCTCACGCGAATGTAGCCCAGCAGCTTTTCAAATCCCCAGGGAACAACGTTGATACCATTCACATGTGGGCCTAGAGAGACTCCATCCTTTTGAGCTGTGAGGCAAAGAAAAGAAAAAAGGTCGCTGGCACGTATCAATCAAACGCGAGGCAAAGAATCATAGAAAGAAAACTACAAACATACCTAGAAGCCGGACATTGTGATCTTTGTAATAGCCCACGAGTGAAACAGGAAAATCCAAGCCCGTGGTCGCGTAGTTTGTAGTGTAGTGATTCACTCCAAGAAAATCGAGAGATCCCTGGACAAGAGCTTTGTCCTCGACGCTGAATCTTGGAAGGCGATCTCCAACCAACCGGCGCATGGAATCCGGATAATCCCCAAAGAAGATCGGATCCAAGATCCATCCCACCTCGAAATCCCTTGCCCGCTGCGCCGCCTCCTCATCGCTCCGGGAGCTCGTCAGCGGCTCATACCAGCTCGCATCGATCGCGATCCCGATCGATCCGCCCTGGTGCTGGAACCTGGAGCGGTAGATCCCCACGGCGGCGGCGTGCGCGAGCAAGAAATTGTGCACGACGAGGTAGGCCTCCGTGGAGGAGTTCCCCGCTGCGCAGCCCCTGGGATACTCCTGAGAGCATCGCCCCGGCGCAAGAAGTCCAAGAATGTAAGCGAAGGTCGCCTGGAGATGGGGCTCGTTGAGCGTGATCCAGTTCTTCACACGGTCGCCAAAGAGAGAGAAGCATAGCTCGGCATATTCCGCGAAGTCCTTCCTGGGAATATTTCGTCAGCTCGAGAGAGCACATCCCGTCAGATTCGTACCTTATGCGCGGGCTCAGCCACGAGCCGTACTCTTCGTCCAGCGCGAGCGGTGTGTCGCTGTGAAGAATCGTCACGAATGGTGTAATCCCTTTCTCGATCAGTCTGTCGATCAGTCGATTGTAGTGGGTCACTCCTTCGGGATTGATCTTGCGATCTGCGAGATGACCGATCAGCTCTGGAACAACAACAGATACTTGAAAGAGTACCGGGGAAAATTCTGCTCCAAGATATCGAGAATCGGTAAGCATCCGTACCGAGATCCACCATGAGGTCGATATCGTCCTCGAATCGGTGGTACTGGTCGATAGCCACATCCCCGGACGTGGAATCGACAATCTTTCCTGGAATTTTCGCGAATTCATCCCAAATGGATGCCTTCCTTCCTCCTGTCGTCGCCGCGCCTTCATACTGTGGAAGCATTGGAGGATTGACACGAGAAATCGCGAGAGGAATTCGAGAGATTTCTACCTGGTAGGACGATGCCGCAGTGCCGAAGTGAAATCCTGGGGGAAAATCTCTCCTGGAGAGCGCCGGGGCAGCGCAGACGCAGTGGAGATTAATCCACATTGTCCCAAATGCAAGCAAAAGAGTGGAGATCTCCATCATGCTGGGTTCCAGTGCCCGTGCCTTTTATGCTTAGGCCAGATAAAACAACGGTAGTCAAAAAGTTTTAACCCTTCCATTTGACCCCTTTTTACCCTTGTTAGGGTTTCGGGGCTGCCATGGAGAAGAAAGAGGAGACGAAGGAGGAGAAGACGCCGACGCCACAGGAGCCGCCAGTTCCTCGCTCCTGCCGTAAGAGATCCAATCCAGATGCATCCTTCATCCAGGACGTGAGGGATCACTTGGACGAGTTCATGAGCGCGTCCATGGAGGATCACAAGAATTGCTTCATGAACACGCTCGGCAAGGTAGAAATCTCTGTGGTCTTCCGATCGTTGGCGAGTAATCCTCCATCGCTCCTTCTCTGCAGATGTTTGGAAAGCCGGCTCCCAAACAGGAGGCCGCGTCGAGCAGCAATCCGCCGATCGAGGGTGTTCTTGCGACCACATCGAAGTAGGTGCTCGCTCTATCAAGGTAAAATTTCCCCGCGTGTCGAGAGATTTCTTGGTGGCAACACTTGGATTTCTTTCAGGGGCAAGAGCAAGAGCAAGGAATGAGAGGAGAAATTTTGCTTGTGAATACACAGCTCGAGGGATAGCGCTATGTTTTAATCAATAAAGAAGCTTTTCTTTCTTCTGTGTGGCTCTACCTAGGGTTTGTAGGGTTTTAGGCGCCTGGCGATGGCGCTCCTGGATCGCTACGAGGTCGCCTCCACTGCGGCTCACATCCAGCAGCACGGATTCTCGCGCGTCGGTCTCCAGGCAAGAATCTAGCGTAGAATTTGTCGAGCAGAGGCATTGATCTTCTCGAAATCTTAGTTTCCGGATAATCTTCTCGCCGACAGCGTCGCCGTGACGAGCGCATTGCAAAGCGCTTGCGGTTCTGGCGTGAGATTCTTTATCATGGCGGACACCACGTTTGGCAGCTGCTGTGTTGACGAGGTCGCGGCCGCTCACGTCAATGCCGATTGCGTCGTGCACTATGGCCCGGCTTGCCTTAGCCCGTAAGTTTGCTTTTATCATAGAAAATTTTCGAAAGTTCTTTGCTTACGTTGTTCTGTGCAGTGTGACCAATCTTCCTGCCTACTTTGTGTTCTTAAGAACTCCTTTGGATATAAATACGTGTGGAGAAGTCGTAGCTGACCTTGTTGCTAAAGACGAACGTCTACTGGTTGGTGTCTCGTTTTCTTAGTTTTTTTCTTTTGTTCTTATCGAGACTGTATCTCTTTTGCTTACAGGTTCTCTATGATCTTGAGTACGCGCACGCGATTCCAGAGCTGCGAGAAACAGTCCGACAGGAAGCTCCAGAGAACTCAGGCCTGACGTTTGCAGAAATTATTGGCAGGGAACTAAATCCTTGCAAGTGTGACGAAGAGCCAATACTCGATACCGATGAACATTCAATAGGTGGCTTGAAATGGAAAGGATCAACGCCGACCAAGATTTTGTGGATTGGAAAGGAAGGCCCGGCATTGACAAACGTGATGCTCACGTACAACTCTGCTGCCGTAAGTTCTTTCTAAGTTCTTTTGCATTCGTGAGGACCTGATGGGCTACTCGCAGACAGTGAGATATGATCCTGCGAGCGGTGAGCAAACTAGCATGTCCAGTCAGAGCTCGACTTTGTGGCGAAGGTATAAAAGCTTTTATTCGCAGTACCTGATTTTTAATATCGAGTTTTCCAGGTACTATTTAATCGAGCGTGCCAAGGATGCAAACATTGTCGGCATAGTTGTGGGAACACTCGGGGTTGGTCGGCGTTTTTCCTTACTAGTTGATTGAAGGATGTTTTTTTCTCTAACACCTGTTCTTTCTCGCAGCCGGCTATAAGCAAGCTATACAGAATGTAAAGCAGATGGTGAAGAGCGCAGGGAAAAAGTCATACACTCTTGCAGTCGGGAAGCCAAATCCTGCAAAGCTTGCAAACTTTCCTGAGGTATGTCGAGCTACCACTCGCAAAAGTTTTACTCTTCTTTGAGTAGTGTGATGTGTTTGTCCTTATAGCATGTCCCCAGACGGCGTTAGTAGATAACAAGGAGTTCTTTGCTCCTCTTCTCACCACATTCGAAGCTCAACTGGCATTTGTGAGGTATGCTCTTGTTTGCGATTAGTTTTCATTCAGCTCTAAGCACGTCGAATTTGACAGGGGCAAACAATGGACTGGCTCGTACTCCCTCGATTTTCGAGACGTCCAGTTGCCCGCTGATCCGCAAGACTCCACCACGGAAGAAGAGCCACGCTTCTCGTTTATAAGCGGTGGCTATGTTTCCTCAAGAACTGGTGAGACAAAGCGTTTTTTACTCTTCTCGCAAGTCAATCTTCACTGACGTCATGCTTAGCGGTTGACAACAAGGACGAGGAAAGCAGCGGCGATCTTGTCGCGGTGGGCAGTGACTCCTCGTCGATTGGAACTCTTTCGACTGTCGGGAAATCACCAGGAACTAGAACCGCGGCGGATTTTTTCGCATCCAGAAGCTTTCAAGGTCTGGAATTGGAAGCCAAGAGCACGAAAGTTTCCAAAGACGGCGATTTGAGAGCAGTGACAGGACGAAAAGGGCGAGCCGCAGTGTACGAAGATGAGCAGTAGGAGTTACACTTTTCCTCGATCTCGGGGAGATCAAATCCCGACCGCTCGTGTGGGGGACGGACGGTCGCGATACTTTTTTATAATGGTATTCCATGGTAGTACACGTGATGGCATTCTCTATCCGGCTTCGGTTAGGGTTTAGGGTTTAGAGCTCCTGCGGCCAAGCCCAGCGCGGATTGGCAGCGGCTTGGCGATTCTTGAGCTCCCAGCGCGCGCGCATGGCCGATCAAGCAGGTAGCAAGAATGCACCCGCCGGTAACGCGGCTTTCTGCGAATCGCCTCAAGTCTACGATAGAGACGCGTCGGCGATCGCCTCGCTGGTCGACAACACGAAGCTGGATGTGAAATCTCCCACGGATGTCTTCCTCTCGATCACCAAGTCGCTGATTGCCGGTGGCGTCGCGGGCGGAGTGTGAGTAATCTCGGGTCTTTTCCCCCTTGCATGCATTGGTGGAGTGATATTTCGTGAAATTTCCATCGCTGATCCAGGTCCCGGACGGCCGTTGCCCCCTTGGAGCGCCTAAAGATTCTTCTCCAGGTACTCTCCATGCACTGGGAGACAATGTGCCACTAACGGTGTGTCGGACAGGTCCAGAATTCCCAGAATGCCCGCTACAAGGGGATGTTTCAGGGGCTGAGGACGATCTGGAACACGGAGGGAGTGAAGGGATTCTTTATCGGGAATGGCGTCAATTGTGCCCGAATCGTCCCCAACTCGGCCGTGAAGTTTCTAAGCTACGAGCATGCGGCCAAGTAAGTTGCGACGCTCGCTTTGTTTCCTTGCCTTTGTTGCCTTGCTCAAGGTTCTTTTCTCTTTTGTCACAGTGCCATCCTCTGGGCGTATCGAAGAGAAACTGGCGATAGTAAGACTTTGTTTTCTCATCAACTGCGATGACGGTTTCTCATGCTGGTTTTTTGGAATTGCATTGTAGGCGAAGCGGAGCTCAATCCCGTTCTACGCCTGGGCGCCGGAGCTTGCGCTGGGATCATTGCAATGTCTGCGACTTACCCGATGGACATGATTCGAGGTCGACTAACCGTGCAGGTCTACCTTCTTTTCTCGTTTGCATGCTGCTAGAACAATTTAATGCTCACGTCGGCGGCTCTACAGACCAAAGGTTCCGAGAGTAGCTACAACGGGATGCTCCACGCGGCAAGGACGATCGTCAGGATGGAAGGATGGCAAGCGCTATACAAAGGATGGCTCCCGTCTGTGATCGGAGTGGTAAGTTTTCTGTTTTCTGTGCGTGTCTACTTTCACTAATGTCTGTTTTCCAGGTGCCTTACGTGGGACTTAACTTCGCCGTCTACGAATCGCTGAAGGACTACATCGTCAAGGAAGAGCCATTCGGACCCGTTCCGGGCTCGGAGCTTGCTGTTCTCACGAAGCTTGGGTGTGGTGCCGTTGCGGGAGCAACTGGCCAAACCGTGGCATATCCTCTGGATGTCATCCGACGGAGAATGCAGATGGGAGGGTGGTACACGACAACGATCAACGGACAGAAGGTGCAAGTGCACTACAATGGCATGCTGGACGCATTTTCTCAGACTGTCAAGAAGGAAGGCTTCACTGCGCTCTACAAAGGCCTGGTTCCCAACTCGGTCAAGGTGGAGTGGCTTGTCTATGTTTTCTCGTATGGCTGGCTACTAACGGTTTCATTCCCAGGTGGTTCCATCCATCGCCTTGGCGTTTGTGACTTACGAGATCATGAAGGACCTGATGACGCTGGAGTACCGTATCACCGACTGAAAGTGCAGCGGCCCTCGTTTTTCCTTTTTTTTTTTGACGAGCGCAGAAATCTGGTTAGCTGCTCCCAACGCGGCACCGGGCTGGTTCCTATCACCCTCTTCCTTTCTTTCGTACATTGTGATCCTTCGGTCGACGAAATTTTCCCATGGCAAAGGTACTTTTTAGTATGCTGATGAAAACGTAGGTGTGAAGCAGTGGGTTCTCGGTGACAAGATACGTCATGGAAAAAGGACAAAGAACGAGAGGATTAGAATGACAGACCGAGATTGGTATTTTTACAATTCCCCATTGCAATAAAGGAACGAATGAAGTGAAAATCGATCGGTGTCAACTCTCGACTCGGTCATGGTATGAGTTTGGTGGGCAAGTAATGACCGCGGCGGTGGGCACGTAAATCAACGCCGGCTTCTTCTCCTGATCCGAAGGTTGGCCTTGGGCCGTGAAGTAAGTCGAGAGGATTGCTCTTTCTTTTCTTTCTTTGTTGTTTGTACATTACTATGACGTCTTTGCTGGATTGATGAGCACAGATAAAGAGAAGTGCACACAGAAACGCTTGTAAGGTGTGGTCCTTTGCGTCCTGCAAACAATATAGTATCTCCGGCGGTGGTGCGGCTTGGCGCTTGAGGGAGAGGGAGAGGAAGGATGAGGCGACGAAGCGTAAGCGCTGTGCGTCTTGTGACACTGGTGGTGGTGGCGCTGCTCTTCGAGAATGGAAAAGCAAATCGGGAAGGTAATAAGCCTGGTTTCTTTCCTATTTTTTCTCAAGGGGAAATATTCAGGTGAAGCTTTAGCAGCTTTCAAAGAAGCGCTCGTCGACCCAAACGGTGTGCTGGATAGTTGGGATCCATCTCTGGTGAATCCGTGTACATGGTTTCGAGTGACTTGCAACAGCGACGATTTCGTGATGCGAATGTGAGTTCAAGCTCATACATGACAAGAAGCTAACTATTATCTCCCTCATTTTGTTTTCCCGTTCCAGAGACTTGGAGAATGCATCGTTGCGAGGGAGACTAGTGCCTCACCTTGCGAGCCTCCGTCATTTGCAATATCTGTAAGTACCTACATTAAAAAGAGGATGGAGCACACTGTAGAGAAATAGATAGAGAATAGAATAGAGGGGCCAGTGGGTCCTTGTCTTTGCAAAAAGAAGAGGAGGATTTGAACCTGCCACTCTAGCTGCCACAGATTTTCAGTCTGTCTGCTTGGCCACTAGGACCTTGCTGCAACTCTTGTTACATAGGAGTCGTCCTTTCGACTTATAGAAGCTGACTTGTTTCACATCTACAGGGAACTTAACAATAATCTCTTAAGCGGTTCCATTCCACGGGAACTTGGGGAGCTTAAGGAACTGATCAGCCTGGACTTGTACGACAACTATCTTACTGGAACCATTCCTGACACTTTGTCTGAGCTCGACTCTCTCAGATTCTTGTGAGTACACTCCCAGTATGTCTCTGTCTGACTCGAGAATTAAATTAAACACTGTGTGTGTCGAGTGCAGAAGATTAAATAGCAATTTGCTTTCGGGATCTATTCCGGAATCGCTCACCTGTTTGTCCAATCTCAAAGTAATGTAAGTGAAGAGTGTGCGGTTGATAGCAAAAATATGACTCTGATATTCCAGAGACTTCTCGGATAATAATCTCAGCGGACGGGTTCCCAATGATGGTCCATTCGCCCGCATGAGCTCCAAGAGGTGCGAAGATGTTCTTTTCATGCTTCAAAGTGAAGTTCGAAATTTTATTTTCTTGCAGTTTTCAAGGAAACTCTGGTCTTTGCGGTCCCAGTGTCGGGAGAAAATGCTGATTTCTATAATTCTCACACAGGTATATATAGCAGTATACATGTTAAGATTACGTATTATGAATGGATGGAACTTGTTGAAAAATTCGTTGAAAAATCCCTGTGCCTTCGTTTTCTTGATTCAAGCATTAGTGCGGGTCATAATTCGAAAAATCTAGCAAGTAAGCAGCTTCATGTTTCTGTGGTTTGTGACTTACATCTGTGTTTTCGTGTACAGAAATGGAAAATCATAGCTTACCGACTAGAGCAGTCGTCTTCTCTGCAAATTCGGGAGCAAACCAGAGGCTCATGTCGAAGCGCAAAAAGAACCCCCTGGATCACCTGGAGGTTGCACTGATTGGAGCAGGCAGTGGAACATATGCCCAGCTTTTGGACGAGTGCGGCCGAGCAAAGTCGGTGCTTCACGGCAAGTTTGTCCACCAGCACATTATCGACAACGGGTACGAGCAGGACACATTCGTGGCTAATCTGGTAATGCAGATGTACATCAAATGTGGCTGCTTCGAGGAGGCACGCCTGGTTTTTAGCAGGATGGTAAAACCGAGCCTTGTCTCATGGACCACTATGCTTTCGGCATATGCCCAGAACGGATATCCGTCGGAGGCACTGAAGCTCGTAAATTACATGGAGCTCAACGGACTGAAGCCGGACAAGGTGACCCTCTTGTGCATACTGGGAGCTTGTTCTTACATCGGAGAGATCTCACGTGCCAGGGAAGTGCATCAGCGCGTAGCTGCCTGTGGATTCGACAGCGAAACTCCTATCGGGAATTCGCTGGTCCACATGTACACGAGATGCGCTAGTCTCCAAGATGCAAGGCTTGTCTTCCAAGGCATGACCAGGAGGAACGTCGTGTCGTGGAACTCAATGGTGGCTGCGTGGGCACAACTAGGCGGTGCTAAGGATGCTCTCGAAGTGTTTGCGCGAATGCTGGAGGAGAATGTGCAACCAGACAAGGTGACTTTCATGAATTTGCTTCAAGCCTTTTCTACTGACGAGGATCTGGCAGCCGCTCGAGATATCCATTCGAAGATTGTGGAGCATGGATTCGAGTCGGACGTGGCCGTGGGAACCGCGGTAATGAGCATGTACGGGAAGTGTAAAAGTTTGGAAGACGCCCGGCTGGTGTTCGAGAGACTACACGGGAAGAACTTGGTTACGTGGAACACCATGATCTCAGTATACGCTCACGGTGATCGTCCAGAGGAGGCACTCTCAATCTACAATGCAATGGGGGAGCAGTACATACAACCGGATCATATCACTTTCACCAGCGTTCTCGCGGCCTGTGGATCGATTGGTGTTCTACAAAACGGGAAAAGGATTCACGGTCACGTCAAGGTGTTTCGGATGGAGGACCACGCTTCTGTGGCAACTGGCCTGGTGAAAATGTACAGCCAGTGCGGAAGTGTGGGAGATGCAAGAGAAGTATTCGAGACAATGAACAGGGACTTGGTGGCATGGAACACGATGATAGCAGGATACGCACAGCACGGCTACACAGAGCAGGCAGTCGAGCTCTTCCACAAAATGGACGTGATTCCAGACGAAGTTACGTTCGTTAGTCTGCTGGACGCTTGCGGCCACGGTGGCCTCGTGACAGATTCGTGGTACTACTTCCGTTCCATGCTCCAGCTGGGAGTATCTCCAACGATACAGCACTTTGGCTGTATGGTCTCGCTTTTGGGAAAAGTGGGGAAGCTGGACCAAGCCGAAAAGCTTATACTGAGCATGAAGGCCTTTCGAGTAGAAGCAAATGCCGTGGTGTGGAAAATGTTTCTGGATGCGTGTAAGACGCACGGAAACATGGAGAAAGGAGCTCGAGCTGCTGCTGAGGTTCTACGCCTGGAGTCAGGCGATTCTTTCCCTTACGTCGTCCTTGCGAACATATGCTCGACAACTGAAGAACCAGAACCACAGTAAGCACGCAAGCACCGTTCTTTCTGATCCAGTTAATCCACGCAGGAACCTGCTGCTCGTGAAAACTGTCATCAGTACGGATGAGGCACACGAATTTGTTTCCAGTTCTGGAAAGCTTCCTAAAGGGCACAGTACACCATCTTTCTTGGTAACTGATCTCGCTTAAAGTATTATTGCGAACCAAACTTTCGAGACCATTCTTCTGACCCACCGAGAAAATTTTCGTGTCGAGAGAGTACGTTGTGCTTTTTATTTTCTAGTGCTCATGCATTTCTTGTGTTCAGGGACGGGCGTGCAGCGTACTGGTATTTGACACGAGATTCTCTTTGACCTGCATCAGAAAATATGATTTACTGGTAAATATCACATTTTAATTGTTTGCTTTTCGTTGTTTCTAAGACATTAGCCTGCAGACTCTTTATTTACGAGTCTCAAAGAATGAAGTGGAACGGCGAAACTCCTAATTATTGTTATAGTGCGCTCTGGGTGGAGACTGTTGGACTGCTTCTAAATCTCCGTCTTTTCCAAGACTGGTACGTACAATACAGAGAAAATTTTGATTTTTGAGAGACTTTTCATCAGGTGTTTAATTCCCTCGAATGCCGTTTATACTAGAATCAAGTGTTTTTTCCTGCTGGCTTGTGTGTAAGTGCTGACCTCAGATAAGTACCATTTTTTCCGGGCTTGAAACGTTTAGCAGGGATGCAGAAGAGAGCCCAAGGTCTGATTCCAGTCATTGTCGTCTGTCTGTGGCTACGACGCTAAAGTTTCGTTTTTGAATTCTTTACAGGTCCCAAAGCGAAGGAATTTTGAACGGTGACTTTGGATTGCATGATCATTGTTGGAGGAAACTTCCAGAACGGAGTCCGAGGATTACAACTCATGGCATCCCCGGAAGATCATTCCCTCTACAACTCTCTGGAAAATCATAATTCTGTGGACGTGAACTATGGTCTCTGTTTTGCTGAGAGCGGTATGCATAAGTCTGCTGCTACGCCTTTGTCATTACCAAGACTGACTTTTCGTGGGTGATTGATTGATGCAGTTTGGACTTGAGGTTCAAGTACAGGGTCTTTTGACTGCGTGTCCACAAAGTCCTGGATTGCCTTCAAAGCTGCAACACGCAGTTAATGTGACAATTAAGCTCCCAGACGACTCGAAAACTACATCTACCTTACCTCTTTTGGCCGAATTTCTGAAACGAGCCTCCCCGAGGAACAGTCCCTGTGAAGCTGTTATGAGAGAGATCGCTGCAGAACAAAAAACATACAGGGAAGAAATGTAAGTTCTTTTGGAGCTTTCCGCTGGCAGAACTGTTCAAACTATAGCTTACAGGACTTTCAGGTTCGGCAACGTCGTAAGCTCTTGTGGGATTTGACCGGATAATTGGTTGTCGTTGAGCCGGCTGTAGTGAGAATTATCGTAAGAGGAACGACGTTTCGACAAATCACTCACAGGAAAACAAGACTTCGCATGTTACCGATCGATTTCGGGATTGATCCGGACAGGTGGTTGTATTGCAAGTCGAGGCTGACCAGGGACTTCAAGTTTCCAAACTCCGGAGGGATGGATCCAGTAAGGCTGTTGTTGAAAAGCTCCCTGCTCATCGACCAATCGATCCACAAGAAAGGTAAGCTACATAAACTTTCCAGTGCGACACTTACAAATGCTCCAAGTTTTTCAGATTGGCGAGCTCGGGAACCAGCCTCCCGGACAGATCTCCTCGTGCCAAGTCCCTGCAAGGAAGAACACGATCCGATCATCAAAACGTCCAGGTTGCTTTCCAATCTTCTCTCCCTGCTTACACTCTAGTGACAAGGTCGTCTTGGTTGCAGGTAACATAGAGCCAGGTGCAAGGATTGAGCAATGTCGGATCCCAGGTCTCGAGCATCCCAGTGGGATCGCTCACCGCCTGCTTGAACGCGTTGAGCGAGTCTCCTGCCAAGAAGAACGAACAATGCCCGGTAAGAGACGCCAAGAGGGAAGCTCTCTTCTTCTCCTTCTTACCTTCCAAACTGGCCAGGACGAGATCGAACAGGAGAAACAAGCCCAGGAGCTTCATCCTCTCCTCTCCGAGCTCCAAATCTTCGCTCCAAACTCTTTCCTCTCTCCTTTTGGCCAGTCCACAAACGTTTAAAACTATATGGACCGTCGCGAGCCTTGTTTACAGGAATGTGGCCTTTCAGTGGATCACAGCACTACTAGTCTTCGGTCAGAGTTGACTGAGTTAGTCAACCAAGTCCAGTGTTCGAATCGCTGGTCTCTATCTTATTTAGCGCGATTTTCATACAAGACGACAAAAGAATCTATAAAGCGAATATCTTTGCATAGTTCTTGGCCAATGGCTATGGTTATAGTGTCTGTTATCGCAGCGTTGATCTCTCTCGAATTCACGGACGCTGGATCATCATCGTCCTGGGAACTGGGAGGATTCACGGAAAAAATCCCTGCCATCTTCCAGTTTGGGGACTCCCTCTCCGATACTGGAAACTCTCTCATCGCATTTCCACAAGCTTACAAGCGTCTCAACACATCGCCCTATGGCGAGACCTTCTTCCATGGCCCCTCGGGGAGGGAGTGTGATGGACGCCTCATTGTCGATTTCTTGGGTGAGAATGGTGGCCTCTTTCTCTCTTTTGGATCATCTCTTCTTGTTCTTTGTGTGTGATTAAGCTTCCAGCTATGGATTGCCGCTGCTGGAACCCTACTTGCGTCGATTCAAGGGGCAGGATTGGCGGCATGGGGTGAGCTTCGCGGCATGCGGCGCCTCCGCGCTAGGCCGCTCCTTCTTCCACGATCACAACATCTCGATCGGGGCGACATTCCAGCTCGATATCCAGCTCCAGTGGTTCCGGGAATTCAAGAATGTCTCGGCGATGCGCTCCTCGAATCGAGGTAACCGTCGATTAGATCAGAGGATACAATCAAGAATTTCGTGAGATAATTGCAATCCAGGTCGAAGAACGCACCCCTCTGCGGATGATTTCTCCCAGGCGCTCTACATCGTCGGCGAGATTGGTGGTAACGACTATGGAGACATGATGAGCACTATGGATTACTCTCAAATGCTCCAATTCGTACCGATGGTCGTCCAAACCATCCGGGATTTCATCCAGGCAAGGATGAACTTTCCCAATCCTTTCGTTTCTTTGTTTGATCAATGTCACAGGATCTCTACAATTTGGGGGCGCGCAAGTTCCTGGTGATCAACATTCCACGCCAGGGATGCAATCCCTCCGTCATCCTCTCGCGCCGCCCAAGCGATCGACTGGACGATTTTGGCTGCGTCGCGGATTTTAATGCGCTCAATTCTCATCACAATTCGCTGCTCCGGATCGCAGTGGACAATCTCCGGGAACGCCTTGCGGGAGCATCGATCGCGCTCGCGGATTTCTATGGCGTAACTGGAGACGTCCTGCGAAATCCCCAAGAATATGGTAAAAAGCAACTCTTTTTTACTGCACCATGAAGGTAAAAATTGGTCTCGCGCAGGGTTTACTGAGACGAGTAAACCGTGCTGTGGCTCGCCATGGCAAAACTGGATCGTCGATTGCGTGGACGGACTGATGATCAACGGTGCGCTGACCATGGGTCAGACATGTGCTGACCCGTCAACGCATCTGTATTGGAATGGATTGCACTTCACGGAACACCTCTACCAGGTTGCGGCTAACGCATTTCTCAAGGGACAATACATAAGTGTATCCAAAATGGGGGATAATGTTAAATTGTGATGAAAGATATTTTTTAAATCAATTTGATAAAGGCTTGCCATCTACCGCTCCTGAGATAAAAATCAAACATTTCAATCAACAAATTCAGTTCTATACAAGACTTTTGAGATGGCAATAAAGCTAGGAGGGGAGAGATAGGTGTCATCTATCTATCTATCTATTTATATGTTGTTTACAGTCTTGTAGTGCTCATAGAGAAGCATAAGACTTTATGAATGCAATGCAATTGAAAAACTTTAAAATTGGTGGTGGATGTTTTCTGGATTAAATAATCATTCATGTTTACATCCCTAATAACCATAAAAATGACCAGATTCAAGTATGCCATCTATTATTTTATCTTTAAGATCGTCATAGGCTTTACTAAGATATTTAAACGAGGGAGCCTAGAACCTGTTATTTCTAATTCATGGACAATAGTTTTAAAATCTTTTGGCCTCATACTTCATGCCGGGTGCCATGAGACCTTGTAAACAGTATATGAATGAAAGATTCAATTCCAAAACATTGTTTAAATACAAGATTAGTAAGAAATAATCAATTCATTATTAGTGGAAGGTTTTATTATGATTATTAAACTTTGATCCGATGTGTCAGCCATTCCCAGCTAGGATCCCATGCCACATCAGCCTTGTAATTCAAAATTCAACTTTGTAAATATATGACATCATCCCAAGTACGAAGAGTCAATCATCGATAATAAACATGGAAGAGCACACGGTTTGTTAGGGCAGTGGTCTTCTAATAACAAGCTAAACAGATTTAACTAGTGAGAATGATTTGCACCTTGGGTGAGAAAGGTGATTGGTGGAGTTCCTTGTAAAGAGAATCCAATGAGCAACATTGTGAGATTAAGGGCTTGAAGAAAGCAATATGACCACAAAGAGTAACGAGAATTGTTTTAAGAAAAAATAAAATTCTACAGTGTTACATAAACATGGATATTGATGTGATCAAACCTGGCTAGGAGTCTCAGTTCCTAGTGCAGAGCTGGATTTAGATCCATGAATAGGTTCTTGTTTGGTACTGAGAAAACATTTTATGGTTTTTCTTTAAATGATACCATCCTTAGATGGAGTTTTTTGCCATGTATTCACATATTTGTCTAGAACTTCCAAAGGTGGAGATTGGTCCTCAGGCATTTTAATGTGTCCCCTGGAAAGTTAGTGGATTTCTTCTATTGTATGTTTGCTAAGATCTGGACCTTATGAACTTGCATCTTGGCACCCACATTGTTTCATGCTGCTTATTGGGCTTCATCGTATTACCCATGTTAGGTAATATCTGGTCCATGAAGATTACAGCATGGAGCAGCAAATAGATCGTGATTCCTACATACGACATGAAAGTACAGCACAACAATGTCAAATAGCTCGTTGTAAACACGTTGATTGATTGACTGCATTCCTAATGGATGTACAAGGACTTGCGTACTGGACCTTATCCTAGCCAATGAGAGCTTGACCAGTAGATAGATAAAAAGCTAAAGTTCACAATGTACTAAATGGTAAAAATACTTTAGAGTATTTAAACAAATTCAGTTTGGATAAATTCTAAGCTATGCCCATATTGGTGGTTTCTTGTTGGCTGTTTTAAAGAAGCAAGAGTCTAAAGATTGGTCCTCATTCCTTCCAAGGATATATTCCTTCCAGTCTGACGCCAATGCGATCAATGGGATCAATGGTAGCAGCAGCTCTTTTCCTCGTTTTCTTTCTCAAATTTGCAGCAGCTGGAGCCGCGCGCTCTCCCTGGGCGCTGGGAGGCATCAAACAAGTCCCAACGATCTTCCAGTTTGGAGATTCCCTCTCCGACGCTGGCAACTCCCTCATCGCATTCCCACATACTTACAAGCGCCTCAACACGTCGCCCTATGGCGAGACCTTCTTCCATCATCCCGCGGGGAGAGAGAGTGACGGGCGCCTCATTGTCGATTTCTTGGGTGAGAGCTCGAATCTATTTTATCCTGGGAACAGTGTCTCGATTTTCTTTGCCGCGATCTTTGTCTGATTCTTTGATTCTTGGGTTATAGCTGAAGGCTATGGATTGCCGCTGCTAGATCCATACTTGCTGCTGTCCAAGGGGAGGAATTGGCGCCATGGCGTGAATTTTGCGGCGGGAGGAGCCTCGGCGCTTCCCCTTCGATTCTATGACCAACACAACATATCGCTCGCGGGATCACGGCACACATTCCCGCTCGATATCCAGCTCCGGTGGTTCCAGGATTTCCAGAATGTGTCAATGCTGCGCTCGAATCAAGGTACTCGATCGATCAATCCATTTCGCAAGCGAGAAATTTCACTCTTTTTCACTCCAGGGAGAAGAACACACCCTTCTCTGCATGATTTCTCCCAGGCCCTGTACATCGTGGGCGAGATCGGTGGAAACGACTATGGATTCATGAAGAAGAGTGGCCTGGATTACCCCCAAATGATGGAATTCGTCCCGTTCGTCGTGCAGGCCATCCGGGATCTCATCCAGGCAAGGATGAACTTTCCCAATCCTCTGCTTTTGTCAGTTTACTCTCGCGCATTGATGGATCTCTCGATCTCACACTAAATTTCTCCACATGGTGGGCAGAATCTCTACAACTTGGGCGCGCGCAAGTTCCTGGTGACCAACATCCCGCGCCAGGGATGCAATCCCAGCTTCCTCGTCTCGCGCCGTCCCAGCGATCGCTTGGACGAGCTCGGCTGCATCGCGGATTTCAACGCGCTCAATGCCCACCACAATTCGCTGCTCCGAGAGGCAGTGGACGATCTCCGCGTCAGCCTAGCCGGAGCGTCGATCGCGCACGCGGATTTCTACAGCGCGATTGAACCGATCTTGCGAAATCCTCAATCATACGGTAAATTTCCATCTCTGTTTCTACCTTTATCACCTGGTTAAACCGAGAGTTTACACGCAGGATTTACCGAACCTCGTACGGTATGCTGTGGTACGCCCTGGCTAACGCAGGTCGTTGATTGCGTGGACGGTGGGATGATCAACGGCATCCTGACGAAGGGCCAGACGTGCGCCGACCCGTCAGTTCACATATACTGGAATGGAGTTCACTTCACGGAACACTTATATAATATTGTCGCAAACGCCTTTCTCACGGGACAATATGTTGATTTAGTCGCAAACCCAAAGCTTGACCAGTAGATAGATAGATACAAAGCCAAGAGATTAAAGAAACTTGCGGGATCTATACTGCTGGGAAGTTCTTTCGAAAACCAAACACGTCATTGGACTCACGGAAGTGAAGATCTGGAGAATGTATGGCACACAGGACTATAGGGTTTGTCTCCATTATGCTAAAACTCATTTTAAAAAATAGAATAGTGGAAAAACAATTTAACAAATGATATTTAATTTTAAGAACACAATATGGAATCTGCTAAAATTTCAAAGTATATTCATTACTATCATAAATTTGCTCCATCTTTTATAAATAATTGTCAGGAACTTTTCATCATTATTATCAATTTCAACTATTACAAATTAATCAAGAGCTTCATACCAATGGGAATATGCTAATGAAATTTTTTATTATTTTGAATTGGAGAATTAAATATACTAATTTAAAAGGTTAAGAAGTATTATTATATACAAATAAATAGCTTTAAATAGTTGAGTCTACAAGATAGTGTAATATAGACATTACAAGTATTAATACTATAATAGTGCATTTATTTTTAATAATGTTTATATTTTATTGATGTGAAATTTCAAAATTTTTGAGCAACATAATTTCTATAAAATTATTTCTATTTTTAGTAACAGAAAAATGTGTATATATTCATATTAAATTATTAGCTATTTAGCTATATATAAATCTACTAAAGTTAATATTTTAACAACTATACATACTAATAACAAATAAACTAAAAATTTTGATTATTGAGTATGCAAATATTTATTTACCTTTTACATGTATACAATATTATAGTCATTATTTAGAGTTAAAATATAGTATTCTATTGTAATGATACTTCACTTATAAAAATAAATTTTTTATAATTTAATATATATATATATATATATATATATATATATATATATATATATATATCAATGTCTTATATTTTCAAAAAAATCAATAATATAGAACTCAATAAATTAAAAATATTTTTTATTATTTATTTTAAAAAGTAGATATAAATTTTATTAATTTTATTGTAAGAAAAGCTTACATAATCTTGGTTAACTTTTTAGTGATATTTATTTTTGTTCAAAAGATTTATCTTTTTTCACAATGAAATTTAATATATTAATCTAAATAATATTAAAAAATATATATTATTTAGTGGTTAACTTCATTATCAAACCTTATTTGTGTTATTCTTTCATTTTTATTTTTCTAAATTTAAAAAAAAATTATAGAAATTTTCAATTCAATACTTTTAGAAAATCACACATTTTTCAATGGATAATTCAAATGTACAATTGTACGATTACATTGTTAATTTTGTAAGAAAATTTTCCTATATTATAAGTGTTACTTTTACTGAAACATTTGCTTAAAAATCAAGAATTTTTTTCCAATATAAAATTTATGTTTTTTCAATTAAGGATGATTTCTCATTAGATATATACTTTTGATTTATATTTATTTTCTTTTAAATTATATAGCAACTGGATAGTTGTATGCTAAAGTAGTATAAAAAAGTGGTAATAAGTGATTAAAATTTTAAAATTGTATTAAAATCAACTAATTTTTGGCAAAAAATTCAAATTCTACAACTATTTTGTTCTGAAAATAGATGTGAATATAATAAATTAGTTCATAAAGAAATTTTTATAAAAAGTTATTACATATTTTCATGGTAATTTCAGCTACTTTTTTTAATCACTTTGATGTACTAATAATCCAAAAAACAATTGAAAACGATTCACTGCCAAAAAGAATATGCTAGACTAATTAAAGCTTGGTCAGTTTTCCGTTGGCTGTTTTAACAAAGCCGCTAGTCACAGAATATTCATTGCTCACATTCTCCCTGGCTCCACATACTTACAAGCGCCTCTATGGCGAGACCTTCTTCCATCATCCCGCAGGGAGAGACAGGACGCCATGATCTTTTTGTCTCATTCTTCTTTGATTCTAGGGTCATAGCGGAGGGCTATGGATTGCCGCTGCTAGATCCATTCTTGCTGCTGTCCAAGTCCAAGGAGCGGAATTTCATCCAAGCAAGGATGACTTCGTGTCAATTCTCGCTTTTGTTTATTTTCGTGTGATTGATTGATCGATCTCACCCACACATGGTGCAACTTGGGCGCTTAAAATCCTGGTGATTAACATCCCTAGCCAGGGATGCAATCCCAGTGGCCACCATAATTCGCTATGGCAGTGGACGATCTCCGCGACAGCCTGGCCGGAGCATCGATCGCATACAGGGATTTCTACAGCGCGATTTACCCGATCTTGCGAAATCTAACCTTCAACCTGGTTAAGAACGCAACGTTACCCCCTGGCGAACACAGGTTGTTGATTGCGTGGACGGTGATGATCAACGGCATCATGACGAAGGGCCACACTTCACGGAACACTTCTATCATATTGTCGCAAACGTCTTTCTCACGGGACAATATGTTGATCTAGTCGCAGACCCAAAGCTTGACCAGTAGGTAGATAGAAATCACCCTACAAAGCCAAACTCGCGTGCTCCATACTTCAGAAGTTTCAAATGGACTTTGATAAATCCTACGGTCACAATTCAAATGGTTTTAGGGCTTATGGTGGTCTAGAATGACCGATTTGGCGGTAGGGCTGGAATCCACCAGGATTGGGACGAAGGACAGGGTTTTTGATTCTCCTAGCGACAGAGCCAAGGCGAAATTTGCAGCGCTGCTTCGTCAATGCAAAAGCCTGGCGCAGGTATGCGCAATTCACGATGAAACTGCTCGAGAGGGGCGAGATCGCGGGACTTTTGTGGGGAACATCCTTGTCCAAATGTATGGGAAGTACTGTGATCTTGAGAATGCGCGTGAGGTGTTTGAGAGGATCAACTGGAAGAACGTTTTTTCATGGACTATGATCATTGGTGCGTATGCCCAAAACGGGCATCCGCGGGAGGCGATGCGAATGTACCGCGAGATGTGCCAGCGCGGGATGAGGGCGGACAAGGTCGCGTTCCTCGGGATCCTTGGCGCGAGCGGACAATTGGGCGATCTCGCGCAGGCGATTGCGATCCGCGATGCCGTCACTGCCACCGGGCTCGACTCCGACGTTGTCATCGCCAATGCGGTGATCGACATGCTGGGCAAGTGCCGCAGCGCGGAGCTTGCCAGAGAGTACTTCGATTCGATCGAGTGGAAGGACGTGATCTCCTGGAACTCGATGATGGGCGCCTATATCCAGCTCGGCCAGCCGGATCGAGCGCTCGAGCTCTACGATCAGATGGCTCTCAAACCAGACGATGCTACGTTTGTGGCGGCATTGGGAGCCTGCGCGCTGCTCGAGCTCCTCGATAGAGGGAGGGCGGTGTACGAGCGGGCTGTACGGCACGGGTACCGCTCGCATTTGCTGGTGGCCACCGCGGCCGTGAATATGTACGGCAAGTGCGGGCGCTGTGCCGAGGAGGGACGTACGGCATTTGATGCCATTGGGCACGACAAAGATACCATTTGCTGGACAAACATGATCTCCGCATATGCCCAGTACGGGCATCCGCGGGAGGCCATGCGTTTGCTGTGGAGAATGGAGCAGGAAGGGTTTAAGCCAAACCTTGCCACCTTTGTTGCCCTAGTTGAGGCGTGTTCTCAGCTTGGAGCCCTTGAGATAGGACGGATGATCTACGCGCGTGTCGTTGCGAGCCGGCTTGATTCAGATCCAATCCTCGGGACCGGAATCCTACACATGTATGCAAAGTTTGGGAACGTAGCGGAGGCTGCGAATGTTTTCGAGAAGCTCAGTCGCAATGGAGACATTATAACCTGGAATTGCATGCTCATGGCTCACGCGCAACACGGATCCGGCATGGAAGTGTTGAGGCTGTACAAGGAAATGGTGGTGCAGGGTTTGCAGCCTAGCGATATCACCTTTGTGGCCATCTTGTGTGCTTGCAGCCACCTCGGGGCGTGGGAGAAGGGGCACGAACACTTTCGTTTCATGAAATGGGACTTCGGGATAGATCCCACCGCAGAGCACTTTGGCTGCGTGGTTGATCTCTTGGGAAGATCCGGGAGAGTGAGAGATGCCGAGAGTTTGATCGAGAGCATGCCCGTGTACCCGGGAAGCGTTGTGTGGAAGGTCTTGCTCAGCGCTTGCAAACTCCACGGCAATGTGGAGCTCGCCGCAAAGGCTGGCGCTCTCGCGTCGGAGCTGGAACCCTACGATCACTGCACGTATGTCATGCTCTCAAACGTTTTCTCCGCGAGGGAAGCAAGTCTAAACACGTAAAAACCGTATTTCTACGATCCGTAATAGAGGATATTCTTTTCCCTCTTTCTTGCCCCCAATGTCGCTCTTCTTGCTGCTCGTGGTGATTTTGTGCGCGATCCAATTCCATCTCGGGGTTCTATGCGATCACCGGGTTGTGTTCCAATTTGGCGATTCGCTCTCCGACGCGGGCAATTCACTCCTCGCGTTCCCGGGCTTGAATGGATCGGGAATCCTGGGCCTCCCCCCTTACGGCGAGACCTTCTTCAAGAGGGCGACTGGAAGAGTGACGGACGGGCGACTTGTCATCGATTTTCTAGGTGAGTGATTGATTTACTCACATCGTTCTCTCGAGAGGGAAATGCGTGATCGATTCGTCTTTACTGTGCAGCGAGTGGAATGGGTGTCCCTTTTCTGGACCCATACCTCGACAAGGCCAGTGCGAACTTTGTCTATGGCGCCAACTTCGCTACGGCTGGAGCCACAGCTTTGAGCATCAGGGATTTCTACGGCAAGCGCAACATCATGCCTCGCAGGCCCACATTCTCGTTTGACACACAGCTACAGTGGTTCCATAGCTTCCAAGAGCAAGCACTCATGAATGGATCAACTGGTACGTAATCTTTGTTTCTTGTCTAGGTAGTATCATACTGTTTTGATCTCGCGCAGCCTATTCCGTTCCAAATCTTCGCCAGTTTCGTGAAGCTCTGTATGTCATCGGTGAGATTGGGGGCAACGATTACGCAATGCTCCACGGAAGTGGGGTCGATTTCTTAGACATAATCAAGTTCTTTGTCCCTCGAGTGGTCCACGAGATTGAAGAAACGATCCGGGTAAATTAAGAATGATCGAAGTTTACAGTATGTTGACAGGAAGATTTTCTTACGAACAGGAGCTGTATCAAGCGGGAGCGCGGAATTTCCTGGTGATCAATGTTCCAATCCAGGGATGTAACGTTCGCTCCCTTGCTACTACTGATTGGAGCAAGGAGGAAATGGACGAGTTGGGCTGTCTTGCACGATTCAACGAGGTTGGCTATCGTCATAAATTCCTCCTCGAGAGAATGGTACGCAAGTTGCGTGACGAGTTGCCCGGCTCGGCTTTCGCGACCGGGGACTTCCTCGGGATCACCAAGAAAATCTTTGAAAACTACAAACACTATGGTCCGATCGTTCATCCTTATCCAAAGCTTTTCGATCCGGCTGAGGTTCTAAGTCTGCTCCAACTTTTTTGGCAGGATTCACGCACAGATTCGAGGCTTGCTGTGGGATTTATAACGCTACCACCACTGTCGACTGTGGAGAGAGCGTTTTCGTGAATGGAGCTCGCATCCAGGGCCCAACTTGCAATGACCCATCGCAGTATATCTTCTGGAACGACAATCACTTCACGGAACACTTCTACGAGATTGTGGCAAACGCGTTTCTATCGGGAGAGTTTCTGGATCCTCCAATCTTCCCGAAACTATCGCAAACCATATGACATCAAAATGTATATAAGCATCTATCAAAAGTTTCGTACGAAAGTACCGTACTTGCTTTTGCTCTGTTTCTTAGGGTTTAACGAAAAGCCCTAGGGCGAGCGCGCTAGGGTTCCGCGATGGTGCGGCTTGGAGCGGAGCTCATCTCGCGGGCGCCGCAGTACCTGAATGCCGTCAAGGACCGGGAGATCGATCTGCGAGGTACTCTCACACCGATCTTTGTATGGAAAGCGCTCACATTTCTTTCTTCTGTGGTTGTAGGAAACAAAATCGCTGCTATTGAGAACCTTGGAGTCACTGCGGTACGCAATGCGCGTCTCTTCTAGTCTCTGATTTCTCGTTTTTTCTATTCTTCTTAGGATCAATATGACAGTATAGACCTCTCAGATAATGAGATCGTCAAGCTGGATGGATTCCCAGAGCTGCGACGCTTGTCCACACTTCTCATTAGCAACAACAGAATTTCTCGCATCAGTTCCAGCCTTGGAGGTAAGTTGCAAAGAACAGCTCTTAGAAAGCTCTTAGGATTTTTTTTTCAATCCTTTCATTCAGGAGGACTCAGCCAGTGATGTGTTTTACACCTGACAATGGCTGATCATGTACATGATTCCACTACTTGTCTGAGGCTGTCGACATGTTATTCTCGCATTGCATTGTTTCTTCTTTCGTAGTTTTCTTCTTGTATTTGCTCTAACGACTTGTTTCCTTCTACTTGCAGAGTTTCTTCCAAAACTTCACACTCTCGTCTTGACCAACAACAGGCTCGGCAATCTCGCAGAACTGGATCCCCTGGCATCGCTCGTAAAGCTCCACACTCTCTCGCTCCTGGAGAACGTCGTGACCAAGCTGCCCGAGTATCGGCTCTACGTCATCCACAAGCTTCCAAACCTGCGGCTGCTGGACTTTAGCAAGGTGAAGGCCAAGGAAAAGATCGCTGCCAAGGCAAGGTTTGCGTCGCAAGAAGCCGAAGAAAATGCCAAGAAAGGTGGAGCGGAGCAAACTTTCGTTCCCGGCGAGGTTCCTGCTGCTGTTGAGCCAGCCTCGGACGCAAAGCACCAGCATCTAAGCCGGACGGCTCTGAAGGTAAAAAACAAATCACTCTTTCGGTCTTTCTTATCGTTTTCTTTGTTCTTGCATAGGCTGCTATTCAAAACGCTCAAACGCTGGCAGAAGTTGCGAGGCTCGAGAGGGTATGTTCCAAAGTCTTTGAATTTCTCTTGGAGATTGGCTCAGCAAACTCTTCTCTCTTTTTTTTCGTGTTTACAGGCGCTTGCGACTGGGCAATACAATGGATCTGGAGACGCAATGGAAGAGGTAAGAAAGCGAGAGTTTTTTCCATATTTCTTTTCCTGGATGAAAGTTTCAAGCTTGATTGTGTTGGTGTTCACAGGGATGAGAGCTCCATCCAAGCAATCCAAGCGAACCTTAAGTACCAACATGGTAATTCTTCTTCCTATAATTTTTTTGCTTCGTAGAGAGTAGCTTATGTAACTTCCAAAGATTTTTCTTTGTTGTAACAGAATGAAAGCAAACGTTCTTCTATAAACCCTAAACCCCGATGTAGGTAATGGCTATGGCGGTCTCGCTCGCGCTCGCGCTTCCGGGGCAGAGGAGCGTCACAGCGCTATGGAATCCGGCGAGCACCGCGAGGCAGCATTGTGTGGGCAGGGCGATCGTGGCTTTGGCGTCGTCTAGGCGGAGCAAGGGAAGTGGGAGCAGCAAGAGCAAGGTTTGTTTCATTCTTTCTCTTGGACGAGGATAGAGATATGGGCTGATTGCTAGACCCCAGGCAGGTTTCAAGGATCGACAGCAGCAGCAGCCTCGCCGGCAGCAAAGAATTCGAGTGGAAGAACTTGACGATGATGATTTTGACGATGAGGAGGATGAAGCGGGTCTGGAGGCACTGTTCGCTCAGCTGGAGAAGGATTTGGAGGCCGAGCGAGCGGGAAAGAAGGTGGAGGTGGAGACGATCACTGAGGAACAGATGGTTGCTCTGGAACAGGAGCTGATGGGTGGTGGTGGCAGTCGGGGCGCAAAGAAAAACGCAAAGAAAAAGAAGAACAAGGATCGAGAAGAAGAGGAGAAAGACGTTTCGAGGGATGAAAGAGAAGATGAGGAGGAGGAGGAAGAACAAGAACAAGAAAGCAGCGGTGGTGGATCTGGTCTGGCGAAGTTTATTGAAGAGGCACAGCGATTGGAAAGCGAAATGGTGGCGAAGCGGGTTGTCAAGCTCGAGAAATGGCAACTTCGAAAGCTAAGAGATGCTTTGGACGTTGAAAAGAGCCAGCTCAAGGTATGTGCATGGCTTCTCTCTTTCTCCTTCTCGAAGGTCTGTTCACTTGTTCCTCTCTCTTTTCTTTTTCCAGGTGAAGGCCCTGGCTGGAGAAACTGGACTCGATCGCAGGGATGTTCTTACCTTTCTACGCGATCCTCCACCGGAGCTCATCGAACTGATTGACTCGATATCCGACAAGGAATCGGACGAGGAAGAAGACAAGCCCGAAGATCAAACAGGCAGTCAAGAACAAGATAGCGAAGCTGGCAAAGAGGAAAACGACTCTCCTCGTGTAGAAAGGATAGGCTTGCCGGGTGATACTCAAGGAACAGGTCCAAAGGCGTGGTACGGGAAGAAGAGAATCCGGAAAGAACACTTGGAAACTTTTGAGAAGGTGTTCCAACGTACGAAGAGGCCGACTGTGAGTTTTCGATCAAATCTTTCGGTGTTTTTTCTAACTAAACTCGTGGTTTTCGAGCAGGGTGCTTTGATCCAAAACATCGTTGAGCTGACTCACGTCCCAAGGAAACGCGTTTTGGATTGGTTTGAGAATCGGAGGCAAGAACACGCAGCCAGGTTAGTGCGCTATAGACGAATGTTCTTTCTTGGAGTGTTTTTTTTTTTCAATCCAGCTTTGTTCCAGGAAGGAAGAAAACAGGCACTTGGCAAGGAAATGAATCAATTGTAGACATCGCACTTTCAAGGTTCGATTCGATAGAGACTTTGCCAAAAGGATGTTAAGTTGCGTGTCATGTTCTTAGGTGTGCAGTTCCGATCAAACTCCACCAAGCGTTGGGATTGTGTAGCGACGAGCAAATCGCGTCGACAACTGGAGAAGAGAGTGATGTGCCTTTTTTATTTTCTTCTTCTCTTTGTTTTTCTCCTTTCGTGAACAAACAGGAGGAAAGATTGGGAGCTTCTTATCTCAGCCGAGCTGCGTCGCTATCCGTGCTTGTCAATGATATCGACAACTTGTCCCAATTAACAATGCAAAATTTCTGTCATGCTTGGCTCTTCCTTTGCAATTATTGGTGGAATACTGGCAGGAGCTATATAAGAGCAGTGCTTTTGCATTATAATCACTCTAAGACTATAAGACGTTGAGACTAAGATGTTACACCGAGATGACATCGACAGAATTGCCAGGGCACCATGCGTGCGGCTTTCGCTGAATTAGCTGGCTAGTCGCAAAAGTTTGGGTCCTCCAACTTTCGTTTCTCATATCTCAATCGCAGCAAAGGTGACAAAGGTTTTCACGTGAATTTTCTTTTGGTAGAAAAAAACACACACAAAAGAAAACAATGGAACTCTCAGATATATAGATCGATCCAGCAACAAGCAGAGCGTTAGGCGATGGAGCTTGTGTAACCACAACAAAAGGCAAACGTATAGTCCATAAATTTCACAGAGTTAACGACACCAAACTTCTCTCCAGCTGGTTTACGACTGGCCACAAGAACGATTGTCCACTACACACGCTCGGCGCTATAAATTTGGGATCTCTCGACAAAGAGAGAGTGGCACATAGTACTACTAATCTTGTCTGGTAACTTTCTTGCGCGTCAAGTGGTACTTCCATACATCGCAAAGAACAAGATCGAAGAATTTCTTCTCCGAGGAGCGAGTATCTTATAGTTTTTGCTGGCATGGGAACTAGCAGCGCACAAAATTCGATGCTCCAGTCTCGCCTAGCTTTAGCTGCTCTTCTTCTTCTTCTTCTTGTCCAGAGCTCTTACAGCGCGTTTGAATTGACACCGGACGTTCCACCGATCCAACACCACCATCGCAAGGCCGGGGACGGGCAACTTTGGGTGGGAATTACGATCGTTTCCAGCGCTTTGGCCTCGGCAACTGGAGGCGGTGAGTGGAAGGACCGATGAAAAGTTCTCTCAAGTTTTCCAAGAATCTCTCGTGAAATTCGGTGGAATTGTGATGCAGTATGCTTGGATGGGAGTGCTCCTGCCTATCATCTCCTCAAAGGCTCTGGAAGTGGCGCGAAAAGCTGGCATTTACATCTAGAGGTGTGCTTCCTCTGTTTTTCATTATCTCGATCTCGAGAAATTGGACCAGCCATGCCATGAATTCTAACACAAATTCTTGGATCGTCGTCTTCCAGGGTGGAGCTTGGTGCGAATCGATCGAGAAGTGCGTCGAGAGGGCATCTACGAATCTGGGAAGCTCCAGCAAGATGGAGACCTCAATCCCTTTCACGGGCCTTCTCAATAACAATTACAACGTCAACCCAGGTGAGATCATCATCGTCTTTCTCTAATTGTTTTTGATACGTGGTCGAATCATAGACTTCTATAACTGGAATCACGTCTACGTAAGATACTGCGATGGATCATCGTTCAACAGTGACGTAGCAAATCCTTACAAGACTTCTTCTGGTCAGGTAATCTATCGTAATGTCACAAAACTTAATGTTTTTCTTAAGAAAAATCTTTCCAGACGCTGTATTTCAGAGGAAGAAAAGCTTTTAAAGCGATCATAGATGATCTCAAGTCTCAAGGTCTTGGCAATGCAGACCAGGTAAAAGTCCCCAGTAACACGAAATAAATTACAAGAGTTTGTGATTTTTACAGGCATTTCTCACTGGATGCTCGGCCGGAGGACTGTCAACGATTCACCGTTGCAATGACTTTCAGTACTATCTCCCTGGGATCAAAGTCAAGTGCTTGAGCGATGGTGGCTTCTTTCTCAACGCGTGAGTCATCGAAAGTCAGAGTTCCGTTGACCCACATTCTTTTGTTTTTTTTTTCAGACCGGATACCAGCGGCAACTATGCACTGTATAGTTTTTATAATGGAGTTGTCAACACACACAGCTTGAAAGATACACTGCCTAGCTCTTGCATCTCATCAAAAGATGCAACCCAGGTATTTTCATAAACAATCTTGCTGAAGTTAGTGTATTTCCATCGAGAATCTTCCAGTGCTTTTTTCCACAAAACATGCAAAACTACGTTGGACCGCCCTTGTTCTTCGTCAACGGTGCCTACGACTTTTGGCAGGCAAGAGTTCTTCACTTGGTACTATTGTTGTTTCTTATAAATTATTGTCGCAGCTAGAGAATGTCAAGAGATTGTCGAGAGATCAATACAGCTCCTGTGTGGATCACTCGGCGTGCCCAAACGTAAATGTTCTGCAAGGGTTCAGGCAAAGCATGCTCGACGCGCTCTCCGTCTCGCGCTCCCGGGGATCGTCGGGGATGTTCATCGATTCCTGCTTCAGTCACTGCCAAGTTCAAGGGGATGACAAGTGGAACAATCCCAAAGTCAATGGCCTGGTATGGAAAAACTTCTCGTAGATTTGCTTCAAGCCTCATCGTGATCTTGTTTGACTGGACAGTCAACTGCAAAAACTGTGGGTGATTGGTACTTTGGCCGTTCGTCGTCGTCCATACACATCGACTGTGCATACCCTTGCAATCCAACTTGTGTCACAAGGCTCGATTGAAAGAAAGAAACTGCAAAAGAAATAAACTCCTCTTACAAACCCCAAGAGAAAAGAGATAACATATCGAAAGCTTTATTCATGGATGTATAAATGAAAAGTGATACTTCCTCTTATTCTTCGCGACAACACTATAACGTTCCGATAAATCTATCCGATACTTGCAATGTTGAGGAGGCTGCTAATGAGATTCAAGACATTCTCCGCGGGCACAGCAATCCCAGATCCCAAAACATTCACCGAGAGGATGTCACCACCAGATCCATCCCCGGAGCTACCATTAGGATCTTGCTGCAAATTCGCGGTCAGGGAACTCGTCTTTTGCATGAATTCTCCCACGGTATAGTTGTATGGCTCCACGCGAGCCTCCCTCTCCGAGTATAGAACAGTGCGCATGGACGCATCCTGGCTCGCCAAAGCCGGAAGAATCCCAGCAACAAGCTGCCAAATTCCAATACCATTAGTTACAAAGCTCGCCAACTTTCTCGTAAGCTTTCAGAATGATAACTTACCGAGACTGCTCTGGAGCTCTCGAGATGTGGAAGCATGTCTGTTGCCACTGATGCTGCCAAGCCCGGGCCGAGCGACTGAACACCCAACAGCAGTTTCGTGGGATCGTCATCGATGCTGAAGTCGGGCCGCAGGCTGCCATTGAAAGCCCTGTTCACTGCCGTGGAGAGCACCTCGTTGGTCACGTTTAGATCTTGAGGCCTCTGGATGGCCCGGTCCTGGAGCACACTAAGCATGGAACTGAAAGAGCGTTTGATAAATACACTTTGCAATATGGATTGATTGATAATTAAAAATGTTACCTGACTTGGGCGATTGAGATTGCACTGAACTCGCTCAACATCTGTGGAATCATCTGCTGACCTCCTGAAACTTGCTGAAACACAACTTTCTGGGAGACCGAAGCTGGCTGCACAACCGAAGATGGTCTCGCCCTTGCGTTTCCGAGGCTGGCTCTGAGAAAGATGTCGTTGAGCACAAACTGCACAGCCAGGAGATTATTAAGATTCCGAACATCGCGATCCGTCAGCTTGTCGCCCTTGTGATCGTCCTCGTCGTCGCCGTCCTTTGGTGGATTCTTGGAAGACTTCGGTGGAAACTTTGGGGATTTGGGACGACTCTTTGGCTTGCAAGACCTGCAATCATCCTTGCAGTGCTTGCAATCGTGCTTGCAGTCATCCTTACAATCGTCCTTGCAATCATCCTTGCAGGGCTTGCAATCGTCCTGATCATCTCGATCTTTGACACCCTTCTTGCGATCATCGTCTTTCCAATCCTTGCCTTTGTCACAGGACTTGCAAGGCTTGCAAGGAGGAGCTGGGATGCAGCCCAGCGGACACTTTGGCGGTGGCGGGGGGCAGGGTGGCGGCGGCGGTGGTGGACATGGTGGCGGTGGACACTTCGAATCATCATCTTTGTCACCCAGAGTGTGGACGCGTTCCAGCGAGAATGTGGAGAAGATGGAGAGGAAGAAGAACGCGATCAAAGAATGTGTGACGAGCGCCATAGCTAGCTGCTATCGTACCTAGTAACCGAGCAAGGGCTTGTTTATATATGGAAACGATTGAGAATCAACGCGACTGTGCATGAAGAACACGTCTACCTTTGACAAAGATGGAGAAATCTCCTTTCTAATTCTAATTGGTGAGCTCTTCGAATATTCTACTATTATCCAATCTTTCTTTCTAAAAGAATGCGAGGTATTTTCCAAAGAAAAAAAACAGAAGAAAAAGTTGACCCATTGACTGTAGTAATTTTTACAAACTTAGTCAAACTACGTTCCAAGTGTCAGCTATGGCTCGCATTATACACCCCATCCCTGCTCGATCAGTTAATTTCTCGTGGATTCTAAGGCATTGATCACACGTTGTTCTATCGCCCGTGGCGAGACCTCTATAAACATACCTGGCAATCTCAACAAAAAAGCAAGGAAAGAAGAGAGATTTCTAATCAGCAATTGTCGAGCACGAGAGGAAATCTCTTCTTACTTCATAAGAATGTCGTAGTACTCTGGATCTAGCGTCGCAAACAACGCATCCACGTCTTTACACGCCATGAGAGCCTGATGTACCAAAATCCAATTCGCAGACTGCGTAGCATTCCTAGAAAAAACTTTAGAAACTTGGAAAAAACCATTCAATCCCAGACCTTGCATCGCTCGTCCTTGGTTCTTGTCGGTGGGTCCTCCAATGCGACCTTGAGCGCTTCACTATTCCGAGATCTATTGCAAAAGAATGAGAGAGAGGTGAGAGAAATCTTGCGATTTGATAGCGCTACACTTACAATCTAAGCAGGCGCTCCATTTGCGGCGCCTTGTGCTCGATCCTCGCGATTATAGCATCGACCGACTCCTCGGATTCCTCGTACTCGTCGTAGAGCGCTCCATCGTCCGCCTCCCCCATGCCCTATCACTCTCGACGCAGGAAACCCTAATTGCGAGAAAAATTTTAAAAATCGGTCAACGGTCATTAGTGATCACTTGGGCAAATCGTATAGTAGGCTTACTTTGGAAAAAGCATACAAGATATCGCGTTAGTAGTCCAACGGTTAGGATAATTGCCTTCCAAGCAATAGACCCGGGTTCGACTCCCGGCTAACGCAATTTCTCTTATAAATGCACAGATATAACCTTCTCTTTAAATCTATTATTTTGAAAATATTTGAATACCTAGGTAGGAGGTGTGAGTGGCTGCTTCTTTTTTCTTTGACAAAATTTAGGCTTTCTAGTAGCCTCCTTTGTGGAACACCGCGTCATTCATTCACTCCTTGACGGATGGTATCTTAGCTCATCTCTTCCTTGATCGATCGCACTGGGACGTTTTTTTTTTTTTTGTTTACAATGCTGGATTTGGGAGAGTTTTTGGTGCCGGATTTTGTGTTGGATCGCGAGGAGCGCTGCGATGGTGGCGGCTTGGAAAGGGTTCCCAGGTTTCCTTTGCTCGTTTTTGTCAACGCCAAGAGTGGTGGGCAGCTGGGAATCGCGCTCCTGGAGACCTTCTCCAAGCTTCTAGCGTCACACCAGGTACGTATCTTTTTCACTTCCAACTTTTGTTTTTTGGTTTTCTGGCTTAGTGGTTTCTTTGGTCTACTAGGTGTTTGATCTAAGCAAGGTTGATCCTCGAGAAGTTCTATCCAGAGTCTCCAAAAATCTAGAAGCCGAGAACGATGTTGCGAAGAAATTGAGAAACTCTTTGAGGATTGTGGTGAGCGATGTCGTCTCTTGATAACTCAGGAACTTTTTGTTCTAAAGATTTTAAAGGTTGCAGGGGGTGATGGCACGGCTGGATGGCTGCTTGGAACAGCGAGCGACGTGAGCCCTCACCATCCATTTCCAATTGCCACGATTCCTCTTGGAACTGGAAACAATCTCCCATTCTCGTTTGGCTGGGTAAGTGATCTCCAAGCTTTCCACTGCTCTCTTGCATTTTTCTTCTTCCAAACTTTACATTCAGGGGAAGTTCAATCCTGGCACGGATGCTCGCTCCATGAAAAAGTTTCTCAAGCAAGTGCTCGAGGCACATTTTCTGAAAGTGGACAGGTTTTATCTAAAAATCTAAAGAGCTAAAAATCTCTAACAAGTTGTGATGATTCTGGTCATCTAAGATGGCAGCTAACAATGACAATGGAAGGAGAGCCGGATATGCTGCCTCATTCAATCCAAAAGGTTCCAAGAATCGAAGAAACCAATGTAAGCTCTTTTTGACGTTCTAGATGATGGCTTGACTCTGGAAGATCGTCAGGAAGCTCCACTAAAGTTTCGTGGAGGGTTTTGGAATTATTTCAGCATAGGTGATTATCATAGTGTTCTAGTTTTCAAAATATTCTCATTCTTTATACTTTCTCAGGTATGGATGCACAGGTTTCATACGAGTTCCATAAGCAAAGACGTGAAAACCCCGAGAAATTCAATAGCCAACTAAGAAACCAAGTATGACAAAGTTTAGGATATCTGTGGTTTTAAATAACCGAGCAATGTTTTACAGTGTGCTTATGCTACTCTTGGCTGTACTCAAGGATGGTTTTGCGCTCCTTTTTTGCATCCGTCCTCAAGGTTTGTGAATTTACTCGTTTCTCGTCTTGTTATTTATTCCAACGATTTGTTTCCAGGAGTATCAATGAAATCGCGACAGTGTATACAGCTGATTTCAATGGTCCATGGAAGAAACTGCCGATTTCCTCGAGGTATTATGTTGAAGTCCAATGTGTTCGTGTTCTATGATTTTCGTTTACAGCATAAGGTCCCTGGTTTTGCTAAACTTACCAAGCTTTTCAGGAGGCTTGGATCCTTGGGGGACTCCCAATGACAGAAAATCTATCAAGGTATTCTAGCTATGTAATCTTCGATTTTACTGGAAGAATTTTGTAGAGAGGATTAACTTCTCCATCTGTGGAAGATGGATTGCTGGAAATAGTTGGCTTCAGAGATGGATGGCACGGCTTGTTCCTGTTGTTTCCAAAGGGCCATGGAACTCGTCTCGCTCAGGTATGAAAAACGACTTTTCTTGCGGTAAAGGTTGCGTTTTTCTTTGTCAGGCACACGAGATTAAGATCGAGCTCCAGTGCAGATCATCGTCACGATCAAATCAGTGCTGCACTTACATGAGAATGGACGGGGAACCATGGAAACAAAGGTTGGAGAAAGATAGAATTATCACAGTGGAGATTTGTCACAAGGGTCAGGGAGCGATGCTTGCAAGGCAGGGATGCATTGCAGAGAGGAAAGATGCTTACCGGCATGCCCTGACAATCACCAAGCATGGCTTGGAGCATGGATTGAAACCAAAGTCCAATTGTTGCTTTCCTTTCAAACTAACTTCTGAAAAATAATAATGTATAGGTTTTTGAATGTTCTTAGAATTGATTTAATTTTAATCATACCTCTTCGCTTATACATACATACAAATATTTAAACTATTAGGAAAACTCCAAAGGCCAAAAGCCAGCTAGTGAAATTTCTATTTCATAGGCGTCAACTTCCTTGAAATGCCAAGGCACTACATTTTCTTCTAGTCCTTGTGCCAAATGGAACACAAAAAGTCCAGGGACACAGTGGAGATGAACCAGAAAAGTCTTTCTCGTGCTTGGGGTTTATTAAACTAACAGCTAAGGTTAAATAACAATTAATCGCTCAAAATTCTAGTATATAGTGCAAGCTTGGGTCAGAGCTACAGTGCTAGTTTTGTTTACAAAAGCTTTGTTGTCAGTTTGGAATGGTGCCAATCCCTCAGGCAAAACCGGCTGGAATTTTAGCAGCTGGGCATAGTGTTGGAGAAGCAACAACATATACTGGTAGACAAACTTCATATCGAGCTCCATGTCTAGAAATGTTTGAGCACACTTCCCCATAGCTTCGGCCTGGCCGATGAAATGGTTAGCAAGCACAAAAGAAACAAGAAAATCTCGTGACAAACCTCCTCAGGAAAGGCATTCCCCCAATCTACAGCAGCTTTGATCGAGTTGCAAATGTCGGTTCGGTTGATCGGCCAGTAGTGGACGAACGGGATCAGTGATCTCGAGAAGAACTCGTGGAAATCGGGGTGGATGAACAAAACGGTGGATCCACACGACATGATATATTTGAGACTGGCAGACCAGCCTCGACCTTCCACATAGACTTTGTACCTATGAGGATCAAAGCTAGATCTGTAGGTGGCGCTATGAAAATGAAACTCTACCTGTGAGTGCACTGCTTGGACATGTCCGAGGATTTGAAACCCTGCCCTTTCTCAGCATTCCAATCCTGCGAGATCATGGAGACAAAGAGCTCTTTGGAGGTCTAAGATCTTTCAAACCTGGATTGAAACTTGGTTCTTACCTGGTGATGAGTGATCAAGCGGCTGGAATTGACATCTTTGTTCGCAGCACACTTTACTAGATCCGGTCGAGCGGCCCCAGTCCAGTAATTCCCCTTCCAATACGCAAACCTCTGCCGCTTTGACCATTTCTCCTCTCGAGCTCCCGAGTAGATCTTTTGCTTCTCCTCCTCCCACGGAAGAATGTTTACCTCGGGCCTGGCCGTGATTCAAGGAAGTTATAAGAACATAACCGAAAATCTCGGGAGCCTTACCATCCCCAGAAGGACCAATCTGGAAATACGATGTCGTAGTTCTCGCCCCTGGCGGTGGTACAGTAGGAGAAGAGAGGAGGCGGCGATGGATCGTCGCTGCCCTTTGCGCGTGGGATTGCCGGGAAATCTCCACAGCCAAACATGAGATCCACGTCCGGGACCATCCCTGGGAAGCGATCGAGCAGCAGCTGGAGGCCGCGCAGCGTGAAATCGTCGCGCGTTTGGAAGCACTTGTGGTAGCGCTCCATGTAGAGCGTGCCATTGAGGATGAGCACGCGAAAATCCGCCCTCTTCTTGGCTTCTTGGAGGCTGTGGAGCGTGATTCCGTGATCTTTCCACGGTGCCAGGTCCCTGTCAATCCAGGAGAAGTAGGCCGGGCACTGCGATGGGGATTTTGAAATCGCGGAGCACTGGTGGAGGCGCTGGCGATCAATCGCTCGGGCAGAAGAATTCACTGGCCGTGGCCGGATCAAATTGGAGATTACCGCTGATGGAATGAATCTGGCCTTGTCGACCACTGGAGCGAAAGCGATCAAGATAGTGGCGATGGCGATCGCTCCAGCCGCCACGATCACCAGGCGCGGCGAAGAAACCCTGACCATCATCGCCACCAATGACCATAGCGTGAGACTTTGAAGTTTGAACGCGCTCTAGTGTAACGCATATCCCACGGTAGAGATTTTTATCACCGACGGCCCCGATTTGATCCGCTCCAACGGCTGTGATAGCGTCTGAGTTGGCGTGACACGTCATAAGCCACGGACGGCCCCGATTCAGTCCGATCCAACGGCTGTGATAGCGGATGAGTTGGCGTGACACGTCATGGATATGACACGTGGAATTAACGTTAGAGCCACGGACGGCCCAGATTCGTTGGAGTTTGAAGTGAAGAGCAGAGGAGGGACTGCAACGGCTCCAAATATTTCTTTAGGGTTTGGGCGCTGGAGCTCCAGATCGCCGCTGCCGCCGCCTCGATCCGGCCATGGACAACTACGTGAAGCTCGAGAAGGTCGGGGAAGGGACCTATGGCAAGGTCTACAAGGCGCGAGAGAAGAATTCCGGGCGCCTGGTAGCGCTCAAGAAAACGCGGCTCGAAATGGAGGAGGAGGGAGTGCCATCGACGGCGTTGCGCGAGGTCTCGCTGCTCCAGATGCTGTCGCAGAGCATCTATGTCGTGAGGTGAGCTCGAAATCTCTGCCTTCTTCCTCTGTCGCTCAGTATTTCTTGCCGCCGCCAGGCTCCTGTGCGTGGAACACGTCGATAAGAAGGGAAAGCCAATGCTTTATCTGGTTTTCGAGTTCCTGGACACAGATCTGAAGAAGTACATCGATCTGTTTGGCCGCGGTAACACTGGGCGTCCTATTCCTCCGAAGATCATCCAGGTTTTCGTGGATTCTAGTGGTTTTGTGACTGGATTTCTTACTTGTGTGATCTGTTGCCAGAGTTTCATGTATCAGCTGTGCAAGGGCGTCGCGCATTGCCATAGCCATGGAGTGATGCACAGGTATTTTCTTAAGTTTTTCCTTAGTTTTTTTCTTCTTTCTAACGAGTGTCCTTTTGCAGGGACCTCAAGCCGCAAAACCTTCTCGTCGACAAGGAGAAAGGAATCTTAAAGATTGCTGACTTGGGACTCGGCCGGGCTTTCACTGTTCCCTTGAAGAGCTATACCCACGAGGTTAGATTGAGCATCAGTTCATGAAACTCGACCTGACGATTTTTCTCTCGTGTTAGATCGTGACACTGTGGTATCGTGCCCCGGAAGTACTTTTGGGTGCTACTCACTACTCCATTCCTGTAGATATTTGGTCCGTCGGCTGCATTTTCGGTATGTTTCCTCGTACCTTTCGCAAACATAATGTGGCTCGCTTGCTTTCTTTGTGCAGCCGAGCTCTCCAGGAAGGTCCCGCTATTTCCAGGCGACTCAGAGCTGCAACAACTGCTTCACATTTTCAGGCATGAACAAAAGTTGTTGTGTATCACTGTTTTCTTGAACGTTTGTTGTTTTTTTTTTTTTGCTTCGTCATAAAGGCTCCTGGGTACTCCGAACGATGAAATCTGGCCGGGAGTGAGCAAGCTCCGTGACTGGCACGAGTTCCCGCAGTGGAAACCACAAAACATAAGCCGCGCCGTTCCGGACCTTGATCCCAAAGGAGTGGACTTGCTGACTGTGAGTTTCTCGATTTCTAGAGACGAACCTCTTATCTCACTGTTTACATTTCCATCCGTCTTCTGGCAGAAAATGCTGCAATACGATCCTTCCAAGCGAATCTCTGCAAAGGCAGCAATGCAACACCCTTACTTCGAAAACCTCGACAAGTCGCAGTTTTAAGAAGTCAGAGTGAGAGACACTACCGACCTGAAGCCTTTGCTTCTGTACATAGCTACAGGTACACTAGTTCTTCTAGCTGGAGTGTCGAGACTGTGTGTGGTCTGGTTCAAAAAACAATGCTCTCTTTGTTTTCTTTATAGGGTTGAATGTCATTTGAGGTATTTTATCCCATGTCAAGAGCAGGCTTCTTCTTCTGGTTGGGGTTCATAGGTGTAGTGTATGCGATTGTGTGTGGCTGGATTCTTGAGCGTCAGACACCGAAAACCAGGCTTCTAAGCGGCGATGAAGCTCCAGTTCTGGCTGATTTTAGTACCTGCAACGTGGAGCCGCCAGGTATGCATTTTTGTTTCTCCTCTGTGCTAAGAAATGTAGCTCATTGATTGATCAATATCATCAGACTTTTCATGTGAACGGGAATTCTTTTTCGGCCTTGCGACTGCACCAGCTCATGTAGAAGACAAGCTGAACGACTCCTGGTTGGAGTTTGCGCAAGAGAAGAGATTCAATGTAAACGTCATGTTTTTCGTTTTTGTACTTACAGATTTTAAGTTGCAGGTGAGAGCATGGCATAACATTCCACAACCCGATGAGCGCCTCCGTTTCTGGTCGAATCCCGAGGTAGAGCTTAAGCTGGCGAAAGAAACGGGAGTGAGTGTGTTTCGACTGGGCATAGATTGGGGTCGAATTGTGATAGCTGAGCCAGTGAATGGCATCGAGCAAGTGGTACGTCGTGTCTGTGTTTTGCTTCTTTTTCTTAATTTTTTTTGTTTCTTGTTTACATGTTGTAGGTGGATAAAGCAGCAGTAGAGCAATACAAGAAGATCCTTAAGAGTGTCTTGGATCACGGCATGCGAGTTATGCTCACTCTTTTCCATCATTCTCTTCCAAAGTGGGCTTTGCCATATGGAGGCTGGACGGACACTAGGACGATTAAGTACTTCACGGAGTTTGCAAGGTATCAATTCTTGTGAATACTTGTTGCTTAAAACCTTTCCAGGTTTGCCGATGAGAATTTTGGAGAGTATGTTGATTACTGGGTGACATTCAACGAGCCACACATATTTGCCTTGCTCACTCACTGTTCCGGAACCTGGCCACCGGGTGTTCGACTGTCGCTGTTTTCTTCTTTGTTGTGTTTCTCCCCGCTCGGTGATTATGGGAAGGCTATACGTGCGATAAGCTCTGCGCATGTTGCTGCGTATGATGTGCTCCACGAAAGGTACGTTCGAGTTTTGCTATTTGACAACGACTGAGATGCTTCACTCGTAGAAATCCAAAGGCCGTCGTAGGAGTTGCTCATCATGTGGGAGTGATCAAGCCTTATGGTTTTCTCGACATTCCCGCCTCGCTTTTGTCCAAGTGGCTCACTCAGTTTCACTGGATTGATTTAATCCAAAACCACCTTGACTTCTGTGGGATAAATTACTATGGCCAGGTAAGTAGATTTGCGAATCACTATTACTTACACAAGTTCCGCTGGTTTTTAGGAAATCCTGTCTGCGGCTGGGCTGATGCTAGACGAACGAGAAGAGTACAGTGAGGCTGGTAGAGGAGTCTATCCTAATGGACTGCTGGAAATACTCGAAGCGTTTCATGATCGTTACAGGACGCGCAAGCCTGAGCTCAGATATATCATTACAGAGAACGGCTTTTCGGACGCTCGTGATATTTTACGAAGGTCATACCTGATCGAACACTTGCTGGCCGTGAGCACAGCTTTGAAGAAGGTTTTTGACGGTTTTTCTAAGGTTACTAGTTACACATTCGTTGGTTTTTTACCAGGGCATTCCAATCGATGGTTACATCCACTGGACAATCTCAGACAACTGGGAATGGGCAGATGGTTACTGTCCAAAGTTCGGCCTTGTGTCGGTCGATCGCTTCAATGATCTGAGACGAGTTCCACGGCCATCTTACTACCTCTATCAGCAGGTTAGTCGTTTCTTTCCTCTTTAACGTTTGAAGCTGATACTCAATCCTTCCTTCCAGATCGTGCGAGGGAGGAGAGTAACGCGGCAAATCAGAGTGGAGGCGTGGGATGTGCTACAAAAGGAAGTAAGAAGAGGTAGCATGAGACCGTTTTGTAGAGGATTTGATGCACACGGCAGGATGTGGGCAGGCAAGTATGTGTATGATCAAGTAAACTTCCTTGATCTGATCAAAGGCAATTGGTTTTCAGATGGTCTTGACACTCCGGCAATGCGAGCTTATTCTGCAAAAGACTGGAGATTTGGAGAGTATCAATCGCCGGGCATTGTCATTTACGCGGGGAGGTCACTCGACGTTCTCCGCATCCTTGCCAGTGATATTATCAAGGCTCTAAAGAATCTCATCGCCAGTGACAAACATTAAGAAAGTTTGGAAATGAGTTTGCTTTTGTTGGTTGAATGATCACTGGGATTCTTGACGACCAAAATAAAACTTGTTTTGTATTCCTTGATATATGATATGATTATTAGAAAGTAAAGCAAGCACAAGTACCTGTATCTAAATCACATGATAAAACTACACGACAACTATGTGGTCCATATCCAACAAAATTCAAGCTGTTATCCTTTTGAATAATAATAAATCTGATATTCGGTCTAGCCTGTATAGCTTCTACCGTATGCGTACCCACTACGGCAATCTCATTGCCAGTCTTCGCACAAACCTCCTTGATTGTAAACATACCTCCATTCAGCCACACCAAGTAGAGCTTTTCCCTCCAGCTAGCAATGTAGATACACTTGCCGCTCGTGCGATACAGACTGAGATCCTTGTACGTGATCTTGTTGGTTTGCACATCAAACTGAACAAACTTGCCATGGCTGGAATCTATACAAGCCAATTTGTTTTGTATGAGAACTTGATGCGGTCGATACAGCACGGACACCGGGACACGATACCATTCCGCCTGGCCGCGAGTGAAAGTGTGGATGTTGCCATCCAAGAACCCCACCACAACCTTGAACTGCTCGGCAGCAGTGGCCAAGAGGAACACACTCGAAACCGTAAACCCCAAGTAGGGGATCTCCTCCCACCTGGTTGCGAAGGGACTCCCAACGTAGAGTTTTTTAAGCTTTCTGGATCGAGCGAGCAAGAAGCGATTGTCTTGGGAGATGGCACACAGACAGTCGGGAGCATTGTGACTGCGAGGCTCCCAGCGCATCATCTTGCCACTGCTGTCCAGGATATAGTTTTCCCCGGGGTCGAACTTAGTGCTATCCGTATAGGAGCTCCGGAAGCTGGGCTCGTCCACCGCTGTTTTCCACGCCCGGCACACGCATCTGGAGATGAGAATGGAAGCCTGCACAGAATTTCTCCCACGAG